CCCTCTTCCCTGCCTGTCTGCCTTCCTTGGCTCCCTTCCCTCTGACTCTCTTCTTGGTCCCTTCTAGCTCCTCACTACAACTCCAGCTGTTTGACGTGACCAAGTCACCTTGCCCCTTGGCAGTCACCCCCCATTCACACCTCTCCTCCCAAGCCCCCCACGACACCTAACTTACTTTCTGTGTCCACAGATTAGTGTATTCTGTATATTACCTACAGGTGCAACTGTACAGTATATAGCCTCCATGTCTTTCATAGAGCATATTATGTTATCAATACTTCATTCTTCTTATGGTTCTTTATATCTTTTTTTTGTGTGTTTTTTTTTTTTTTGCACCGGGGATTGAACTCAGGTCCTTGCACTTGCAAGGCAGGCCACCGAACCGCTGAGCTAAATCCCCAGCCCATTTTATATCTTTTTATATCTTCCATGATGTAGATATGCCATGTGGTTATCCATGCATCAGCTGATGCGAATGTTACTGTTTGTAATATTCATGTACACGTTTTTGTTGGAATATATATTTTCAGGTTTTGGGGTATATACCTAAGTAGAATTGATCACTCTGTGTTGAACTTTTTTGAGAAATTGCCAATCTGTTTTCCACAGTGTCTATTCCATTTTATCTTCCCACCAGAAATATATAAGGGTCACAGTATCTTTCTGTCTTACCCATCTTGCTGATTTTTATGATTGTAACTCTTGTAGACATTCTAATGGATACGTAGTGGTGGTTGCCAGTTCAATTTTTTTTGTTGTTGTTGTTGGTACCGGAGATCAAACTCGGGTCCTTGCACTTGTGAAGCAGGCACCAGAACCACTGAGCTAAATCCCTGGCCTGAGTTCAGTTTTTCTTCCATCTTTAATGGCTAAATGTGGATGATTTGTTTTGTCGGTTGTATTTGTTTTCTTTACATCTTGTCCATTCTTTGATCTACCCGAAACAGCTGTTTCTCGCCACTTTACTGAAACTGTACTGTACAGTAGGACGTGCATAACTTCTGCATTAGTGTCTGTCACTGTGACAAAATGCCTGAGAGAATCAGCTTAATAAAGGAAAAGGTTTATCTGGGTTTTACATTCCTGGTTGCTTGGCCCTGTCACTTTGGCCTGGTGGCTGCACAGCAGCCCCTAGTGCGCCGCAGGCTGGCAAGCATGCCTTCACCACGGGGCCTCTGGGGAACCCTCCAAACTGTGGCATCCTCTTTGATTAAACCCATGGCTTTTTTATGTTCTTTCTCCCACAAGGAGCTCTTCCCACCTCCAGCCCTGCCCCATCCAAGCCTGGATTTCCTAATCCAGAGCTTCAGGTCATCTCTATGTGCCGCTGTGGTCTCAAGTCTGGATGGATGCCATCCTCTGTGCCCTGCCCAGTGCTCCTGTCTAGTAAACCTTCCTATTTAGAGTTCAACAGTCATGGCACGGACCACTGCAAGAGTCTCCTGTGCTTCCCAGTCCCTCAGTTGGTTTTAACCATCCTCCCACTCAGAACTGCTCAGCAACGCTATGTGCCTCCAGGATAAAATCCACATTTCTTTCTCTGGATTCAGGGTCCTCTCCTGGCCCTGCCTCCCATGAGTCCCTCCGAGACCAGCCTGCTTGCTGCCTTCTCTCAACAGCCTCACCCACTCTGTCTCTGCCACTTCTCCCTGTGACATCCTCATTCTTTCTCTAACTTCTCTCCTGGCCTCATTCAAATCATATCTGCTCCTTCCGGATTGTTCCTGGCTTCCTAGCTCCAGCCTGCTTCTCCCACCCCTGCATTCTCAAGCACTGGACATTCTGTCATCACACTTATGTTGTGCTCCCTTCTGTACCTCACCTTCCCGTTGGCTAGATTTTGAACTATGAAAGAACAGAAACTGTGTTCTGTGTAGTTTTTGCCTATGCCCTTTCTCAGAATGCATAAATTTTTTTGTGATGGGAAGCAAGAAAAATTAGAATCTCAAAAGTCTTTGCTAAAATTTAAAGGTAGACAGAGGAGGCCCAAGGTTAAGAAGAGAAAAGAAGCAGGCAGAATCCTTTCTACAATGTGTGAATTTGTTGATAAAGAGAGGAAAAAGATGATAGGGTTTGGGGTTTTTTGTTTCCTTTTCCTTCGGCGCTATTATTTTGAATTCATTTTCTTACTTTTTCCCCAGCAGCTTCCATAGGACTTTTGCTCTGACATTACGGTGAAATGTCCTATTCTTGTGCTATTTTTTGTTTTGTTTTCAGGTCCTGTTTGTTCCCAGACACTGGTGGCACTACGTAGAATCCATTGATCCTGTCACTGTCAGTATAAACTCATGGATTGAGCTGGTATGTTTTTGTTGTTTTCCTTTTAAAAATACATTAAGTCCTTGTTTTTAAGAAACACAAAGACCATCTATAAAATTTGATGAATTTTCTTTAACCAACACTCTAGGATTATATTGTTTTGATGTACTGTGATTCTTGTCCTCTGTTGAGGTTGGAAATAGAATTTTTAGAGATGTGCCACTTTGTTTCTTTAAAGGACACACAGGCTTGGCATGGTGGTGCATGCCTACAATCCCCTGCACTTGGGTGGCTGAGGCAGAACAGTCAGTTGGGGTTCAAGGCCAGGCTGGGCCACATAGTGATTTCACGGCCAGCCTGAACTACATAGTGAGACCCTGTTTCAAAAAAAAAAACTAGACAAGACAGGTAGTGGGCCCTGACATTGAGTACAGGTCCACTCCTTGGTCAGCGTTACGAAAATTATTTTGCGCCTGGCTGGATCTATCTGCCCTCTGCTGCCAGCATCACCCCACACCATTTGAACTGGAAATAGCCACTCCTTGTTCAGGATTCTCATTAGTAATTGCAAAAATCTCAGTCTTGGCTTATACATTTCCTCAGAGCACATGGTTTGTTTTTATATCTGCCAGAAGCCTTTCCCCACCAATATCCTGTGCCTAATTGTGGCTCGTGCTCTATTTGGCAATTACAATTGTAGCCTGTTGTGCCCAAGTCTGTCGCTGTCAGCAGGGCCTGGAGTGTGCCAGTGCCCTCATTAACCCCAGACCCTGGCTGCATCTCTGCTCTCCTTAACCCAAGCCCTAGATTGCATCTCTCTCCTGTCTTTGGCAGCTGTACCCCCTCAGTCAAGCTTCCTCTCCTTTGTTAATGGGAAGGGCTTTGGGATAGGTGGAGCATCAGAAATATGACAGGAAGCTGTGGGTGTGCACTTAGAGGAGAGACGGGGTGTCGACTTGGGGGCATAGGTGAGAGCATGGTGGTCATCGGTAGACTCGTGGTTAGAAATGCTGCTTGTAGCGTGCAGCCTGGTGTCGCAGCCGAAGCTGCAATAGAGTCCATGGAGTCCCTTCTTCCACCAGCACCAAAGTCACATCTGCAGCAGCCCTGAGGGATGCTTCGCCTTCCAGGCAAGCTCATGAGTGTTAAGCAGTGGAGATGTCATCTGCCTGCCTGAAGCCCTATCCATTATTTCTAGAACTACACATTCTTTGTTAAGTATTTGAAGATACCTGCCATGCAGGCCTTTACACTGTTCTTCGGAGCCCAAAGCTCTTAGCTTCTTTAATGGTGTGTGTTTATAAGACTCCCCCCGACTCCCATTCCCCACTCTTCACTGTCTTGGTCATGGACTTGGAATCAGGAAGACTTAAGTGCTAGGTCACCTTTATGAGCCAGCTACATGGTACTTATTCTTTTCAAGCCTCAGTTTTCTCACTTGTAAAACCCTGGCTTAAGAGAGTTGTTGGGAGGCTTAAATTCAGCAATCAGTGTAAAGGCATCCAGTATAGCACCTGGCCTACAGGAAGTGTTTACATCACAAACTGCGGTGAAGGGCTGGGGATTTAGCTCAGTGGTAGTGCTGCCTGCCTCTCAAGCACAAGGACCCGAGTTCAATCCCTGGTACCAAAAAGAAAGAAATTCTGGCGAGAAGGCAAGGAGAGCTGTGTGTTAAGTTCAGAATCGCCCTCTCCACACAGCACCTCACACTGAATTCCAGCAGCCTTGTTTATAGAGCTAGAGCATAGGATTTCTGCCTCACGTGAGTCTCAAGCTGTGTCTCTTCAGTGCTGCTTATAGTATTTCATCAGCCTTGTTAGCCTTATTCACTTCAGGTTCCTCCTCAGCTTTAAAATGCCCATGTTTTTTCACATCATCTGCTGTCCCATCAGGGTGTTCCTGGTCTTACATTGGTAAAGCTGATTCTTCAAGTCTGAATCCAGCAGTTCACAATCATCCCTACCAATTTTCATCGCATTGGCTCAGGTGAACTTTCCAGCTGGCTGAGACAATTTTTATTTTCAGTCTCATCTGTGCCTTGGTGAAGCCCTTCAGGCTGGCCATCCGAGTGTGTCCTTGCTCTGCGACACCATGGGCCACCTTTCTCTGCTCGAGACTTGGGAGCAATCATTTCCACAGCAGCCATGGTTCCTTTTAGTAGGGTCTGGTGTTTAGAAACAGATCTGGGTTCTGAGGTGATTCATTGCTGCTGGTTCTGAGTCCTTCAGTGATGCAGCTGGAGTGATACAGGTAGATGATAGAGCATTGATATATTTATATTCCTAATTCAGTTTTAATATAGGGCTTTTAATTTGTTTTCTGTTAATATACTGAAAATCCAGATATCCTTATGAACAGTAGCATAATTGTTTCATCCAATTTTTTTTTCTACTTTTTTGAGACAGGTTTTTGCTGTGTATTTCAGGCTGGTCTTGAACTCACTGTGTATCCCAGGCTGGCCTCAAACCTCCTGCCTCAGCCTCCCAAGTGCTGGGATTATAGGCGTGTGCCACCACACCCATCCATTTTAAACAATGTATTTTTTAAGGTGTCAGATTTACAATTGAAATTCCAGTACTAATAATTACCACTAGCCATAGGTTTACAAGTAAAATTCTTTGCAGTCCTTTTTATCATTATATTATATCCCACTAAGGAGGTGGGTACAAAGTACTTCTTTCACAAGTCATTGTAAAAAGTTGGACATGGTGGTGCAGGCTTTTAATTGCAGCTACTTAGAAGGCTGAGGCAAGAGATTCACAAGTTCCTGTCTCAGAATAGGAAAAAGGGAGGGGGGGGCTGAAGATGTAGGTTAGCATTGTCTGGAATCAATCCTCAGTTCCCACCCACTTCCAAAAAGAAGTCATTAGAAAATAATAGCTGTGTTACTAATTTGATATTCAGGTCCATTTGTTTCTGTTTTACCTTTTAATTTTAGGATTTAATAACTTTTTCATTTTCAGTCTAATTTAATGTTTTGAAAATGTAAAAATTTAATTTGTCAAAACTGTCTAAAAGGTACATTCAGAGAAGTATCCCTTTCATCCCTGTCCTCCACCCACCTCCTCCCAGCGTCCACAGGGATCCATTTTTATTCCTTGCTAGTTCATCATTCCAGTCTGGCCATGGGAGTAAACATGTAAATACAAAAATAAGTAAATGAATACATACATTTATATTTTAGTAAGTCTTTATGTATTTATATGCTTCACCATAGATACTCTTTCATATTCCCTTTTCTTTCTTATAAAGTAATAATCTATAGGGTTCTTTACCTTGGTTTTCAATTTAATAATATCCTGAATTTGACTACTTGACAATTTTTCCTCAAGAGCTACAATCTAGTGACCCATGACGGGAGTATTGTTCAGTGTGTTCTCTGTGAGGATGTTGGGATTGTTTTCAGTCATGTATAATAAGAAACAGTGCCAGTGAACGACCTTCACATACGTTGTTTTATATTTGCCAGAGTGTGTCGCTGGAGGAGATTCTTGGCCAGGTCCCGGGGTAAAGGTATCTTTAATTTGATTAGGTTTTATCAAAGTCCCCTCCACTGTCACTGTGACATTGTTTTGCACTGACATTAACAGTACCTGCTGGGGAGGCTGTTACTCCCACAGTCTCCAGCAGAAGGTATTGTCCAACTCTGTAGGTTTTTGGTTTTGTAAGAAGACTTTTCCCCCTTTTTTAGGTCATAAAGGAATTCACAAATATTTTCTTTTAGAATTTGGACTGTTATGCTTTTTTTCTTCTTTTTTTTTAATGTGTTTAGATCTCTCTCATTTGGAGATTTTTGCTAGTGTATGATGTAAGGTTGAGATCTAATTATATCTTCTTTCCAAATGGTAACAGTATTGTCAGAGACATCACTTATTTTAAAGCCTGTTTTCCCCGATGATTCAAAATCACCTTAATCATATATTATATTAAATATCCTTACATCTGTGGCTGTATTTCTTTCATGGGGTCTTTCTGCCTAGTTTTCATCACTCTTTCACACTGCTTCTTTTGTCTTTCTTTCTTTCTAGCACTGAGGATTGAACCCAGAAACTACACCCTGGGCTACGTCCCCCGTTTTTTGTTTGTTTTTAATAGGTCTTCCTAAATTGCAGGAGCTGGGCTCAGCCTCCGAGAATGCTGGGATTACAGGCTTGAGCCACCACACCTGGCTGCACCCTGCTTAGTGAGAGCGTAAAGCAGATCTTTAATATCAGGACTAATTTCTGTCACTGATTTTCTTTAGAAATGTTCTCTTGGCTATTCATGCATTTATTTTTTCATATGACCTTTAAAATCAACTTGTCTAGCTTCAGGAAAACAACCTACTAGTATTTTCATTCATTCCATATTAAATTTTATATGAACTTTCTGGTGTTGAATTATCCCATCCAATAATGAGGTGAGTTTCCACTGTCCAAGTCCAGCGTTCTTTAAAGTTTTTTTATTTGTGCTTTGTACATTTCCTTTTTTTTTTTTTCACGAGTACATAATGTTTATATTCCTGTGTGCTTGGGTAGTTCATAATATGTGCATGACATGTCGTCCTTCCTTTTTCATCCCCTTCTCCTTTCTCTCCCTCCTCCCTCCATCTCTTGTTCTCTTTCCCATTTGAGAAAGACCTGTCTCCCTACTTCCTAGCATCTGTCTTTTGCTTTATATTTTAGGTTTCTCATATAAGAGAAACCATGCAATATTTAAGCTTGTCTGTCTGATTTAATTTATTATGGTATGAAGGTACAACCCTTTTTTATAAATGACACGTTTATCTTTCCTTTTCAGAGTAGTTCTCCATGATGTGTAAATGCCATTTTCTTTATCCATTCATCTGTTGATGGACAGATAGGCTACTTCTAAGATTTAGCTATTATGAATTGTGCTGCTGTAAACGTGGGTATTCATGCATGACTGTGATATAATCTTTAACTCTTTTGGAAAGATACCTAGAAGGGAAATGGCTGGGTTCAGTGGAATTTCTAGTTTTAGTTTGTTGTACATTTCTTTTTAAAGTTTATTACTGAGTATTTCATGTTTTTTGCAGCTATGAGTAGAATCTTTTCCCTTATGTCTTCTGGCCTCATACTGTTAAACTATATAATAGCTGTGATTTTCTTTTATTAAGTTGAATTGTAATTTTTAATGCTTTTCATGGATTTTCAAGTATCTCTCAGGTTACCTGAAAATTAGGGTCGTTTTATCTCTTCCTTTCCAATTTGCTGACGTGATTGTTTTCCTCTGTCTAATAGTATTGGCTGGTACAACCAATTCAGTAGTAAATAATGGAGAGAATAGGTATCCTTGTCTTGTTCTTCACTTTCAAGAGAATTCTTCTGGTGATTTCTCTGAGTATCCCTCGGTCTGTTCTCTTCACTGCCTTCATTCTTGTCCTTGAACAAAAATATCTGGTCACCCAGATACCCATCCACTTATTCTGCTTGTTCTCCTCTTCTGGAGAACATGGACAAGCCACATGGTGCAGCAGTTCCATCCCTAGATACATACCCAAGAGAAATGAAAATCCATATCCATACAAAAATATGTGCAGCGTGTTCACGGGAGCATCATTCAGAACGGCCAGCTCTATCCACTGATGAATGAACGCTTAGGCCAACTGCATTGTGTATACAGCGGGATATTTTTCAGCCATCGGAAGGAATGGAGTATCTACACATGGTACAGCATGGATCAGTCCTATGGTGTATGAGGAAACCAGTGGTGCACAGCAAATCGATAGCTAACCATCTCCATATTCTAGTGCTTCTTTTTCTCTGGTGAACATTGCTTGATATTACATTTGATCCAGCAGTTCCTTTCTTGGGTATATGTAGATATCTGTATTTATATATTATGCACATATATCTCTATATAGGTATCTAAATGATCTTTTCCAAGCCAGGCGTGGTGGCGCACGCCTGTAATCCCAGCACTCGGGAGGTTGAGGCAGGAGGATTGCTGTGAGTTTGAGACCAGCCTGGGCTACACAATGAGTTCCAGAGCAGTCTGAACTACATAGTGAGACCCTGTCTCAAAAAAACAAAATAAATAAATAAATGATCTTTTCTTATATAGAGATATATTTTATCTGTACACCTACCTACCTGTCTCAAGAAGCTAGATTCACTGTAACACCAAAAGGAAGTGCCTTGATTGTAGAGGCTGGCGCATGTGGCATTTGTCAGGCAGAGTGAGAGGCTGGAGATTTAGGCAAGAATTAAAGTCTGGAACCCAGAGTCTGTAGCACAGGCTGATGGGCTGGTGACTCACTTAGGGCTTCTGTCAGTCTTGGGGCAGAATCCCTTCTCTGGGAACCACCGTGTTTGCTCTTAAGGCCTTTGACTGAATGAAGACGGCTCATGTTAGAGTGTGTATTAATTTAAAACCAGCTAATCGTAAATGCTAATAACATCTTCTTCACCTACACAGCAGTATCCAGGCTAGTGTTTGGCCAGACATCCAAGCACAATAGCCTAGCCAACTGGATGCAGAATGATTATGTACATCAGTTCTCTCACCGGTGTGGGAATGCCCAGGCTGTTTTCCAAAGCAGCCACACCATTTTATATTCCACCCGCCCTGTGTAAGGGCTCTGACTTCTCCACTTTCTCACCCACACTGGTTAATGTCTGTCCTTTTGATTACAGCTATCCTAGTGTCTTATCATGGAGATTTGCTTTTCTTAAAGCTATGTCTCTGTTTTCAGGGTGATGTGATATTCCCTTTTGTTAAGGTACCATGATTTAGGTATTGTTCTGTTTATGGATAATTGAGTTGTTTCCAGATTTTTGCTTTCATAAACAGCTTTGTGCGTGTCTCCCAGCACACGCATTCAGGGTTTTCTCAAGAGAGAACGCATAGGTGTAGGAGCGGCGTCGCTGGTCTGTGAGGTATGCACTGTGAATCAGTGCTAGGGTGTTTCCAGTTGGCTCTGAGTCCAGGCTGCCACCATTAGGAAGACTTCTGTTTGGCAGTCTGCATTCACCCACCATTTGGAATTATCAAGCCCTCTCTTGCCAGTTTCATAATTTGCATTTTCCTGGAGGTTAAGCATAATTTGTTTAATAGTCAGATAACTGCTCTTTCTCAAATGTTAATCTGCGTGTGTTACCCAAATTAGGTCATTTGTCTTACTGATATGTTCAAATTCTTTTTTTTTTTTTTTTTTTTTTTTTTTTTTTTTTTTTTTTTTTGGTACCGGGGATTGAACTCAGGACCTTGTGCTTGTGAGGCAGGCAGTGGAACCACTGGGGCTTTAGCCTGTTCAAATTCTTTATATATTCTGGATATTAATCTTTTATTAGTTAATTTGTTACAGACATCTAGTGTGTATTTCCCTTGTGTTCTTTAAGTTGTTGCTTTTAATGTAATTTATCATTAACACTACAGTTTTGTGCCTATTTCTTAAGAAAGCTATGTTTAGCTACCTCATTATTGTAGTCAAGCTTATTTACTATAATTTTCCCTTTTCTTCAAATAATTTATTTCCAAATTCTACAAGGGTTATTCCTCTGTGTGTATGGTGCTTTTTAAAACTTTAAACATGTCAAAGAATGAAGAAGATAGAAAAAAATGGTAAGATTTATACCTGAGGCCTGTGTTTTATAGACAAAATACGTATTATTGGTGAAATATTCTATACCTCTTCTAGATGACAGCTAATAGTGAATTCCATGGCTTTGCCAGTAGCTTCCTCGTTGCTTCTATTACAAAGCACAGATCAGCGAGCGGGACACATAATCAGAAGACACAGAGTTCTCTGTTTTGAGCCGTGAAACAGATGCTAAAAGAGTGTCTTTTTTTTTTAAAAAAAAATCTCAATTTAGGAAGAGGACCACCTAGCCCGGGTAGAAGAGGCAATCACTCGTATGGTTGTGTGTGCAATGAAAACTTCTGAGGATCCACACGATATCCGAGCTTGGTTAAACCCCACCGAGGTATTCTGGTTTTTACTGTGGCTTATGGCCCCCCCAGAGCATTTGTTCCAACCTTAACTCAGTGTGCAGAACCATTCCAGTGTTTCCTTTCCCTCAGGTTGGGGCAACATCCCACGAAATCAACTGCCGCTACTTAAATGGAGCTGTTTCTGCCTTTTTTGATCATCACAGAACACCCAGGGCAGTAGAAATTCAAGCACTGAAAGCAAATGGGGAGAATGTGGAAAAGAAAGAATTAAATGGGTCCAGCCACATGGAGGTGGGCCAAACACATGGCCAGGACTTGAGCCTGGCAGCTGGAAAGCAGGATGTAGTGAGTCTCTTTGGCCCTGATCTGTTCCCTGTAAATCCAGGACCTGAAGAAGAACACCCTTCAGAAGGAGGTGGCATATTTGAAAAAGGTGGGAAAGAGTTGGTTGACAAAGATGGAGAATACTTTGCAAAATCCTGCTGTGCCAAGAGGCAACAAATGCTGAGTAAAAGTGAAAACGTGGTGGTGGAACAGACTGCTCCAGGTAGTGCTCCAGGCCTGTCTCAGGCATTCATTTCTACAGATGATTTGCTGGACTGCTTGGTGAATCCACAGGTAACCAGGATGGTGGCGCAACTTTTGATACAAGGGAAAAGCTTGTGATTCTCATAGAAAGTGGCTTTTTAAATAACACTTTAAAAATATTTTTGGGAAATACAGTATGACTTTAAAATAAAAGATGTGACAGCAGAAGTTCAACCTGCCTGTTTATAAGTTCTTACCTAATTAAATTTCATTGGTTGCCACCTCCTCCTGTGAATATTGCTTTCTCTCTTTGGTGCCTTTGCCTGTCCTTCCTGCCTCGCAGCCTGGGTCACATGTAAGCCCCAGGTGTTCCCAAGCAGGAAGCAGTCTCTCCATCAGCTTTCACCAGGTACTGACCTGCTGCTTGGTCTTGTAAGTCCAGCTTTCTGGGAACATACCCAGGCCACTCATCTCACATTGCCTATAGCAACTTTAGGATTACAATGAGAGCTGAATTGAGCTAGAGACTGTGTGGCTCCCAAAGCCACAGAGAAAAAAAAAATCATTATCTGTCCCTTTACCCAAAGTTTGCTGGATAGATTCCAGCCTGGATCTGAGATGATCCCATGTCTAACACCAGCAGAATTCTCACCAGTTAACTTCTGCCTTCTAAAGCAAGATACCAATCAGGAGGCTAGCAGGGGAGCTTCTGATGTGAGACCTCCTTATGGGAATCTTGGGGCACCGAGGAGTAGCAGTCGTGGGACCAAAGATGCTCCTGACCCCTGAGACAGTGACTAAATCTTAATTTAACAAAGTTGCTCCCACACTACATTTGCAAAACCGGGGGATAATTATTACCATTACTGCCCAAGTATTTAGAAATTAGGAAAGTTTACTGATGTCTGAGTAAACATGTATGACACAGATACACAACAAAGTCACCTGAAGTCTCCTTTTGAGATGAATGGAGTACTTGCCCTACCCTTCTCACCAGGGTATCAGTCCACAGAAAATGTGTGCAATCTAAGAGAGCAGGGAGGGAGCGTGCTGCTATGAGAGCATGTCCAGGGGAAAGAAAGATCTAGAAAGAGCCCTTGCGGACACATGTCACCAGCTGTCCACGAAGCAGGTCCACTGTGTATTGGTTACCACCTTGTCTTGAGTTCACTGAGACAACACCCAGCTACACAAGTTACACAAAGCACATTTATGACTTACAGATGGGCAGCAAGAACAACAGAAGCCTAGGATCCACTGTGAGCCAGGCCCACAAGGCCCCAGAAAGCTGCCCTGGACCCCCCTTGCACCCCACCCTGCAGTGTGTACCACACCTCTTGCCTCACTGATCACCCACCAAGCCTTACCAGACCCACAGTGGGCTTGTTCTGGCAGCTTGACAAGCTCGGTTTTCCCTCCAAATTTACTAAACTCCAGCTGCATTCGACCTTCCTGAAATTGCCAGTAAATATTTGTACTCTAAGGGCTCTCTTGCTCTCTCGTTTAGTTTTCAACAGCAGTGGCCACTGCTCATCATTAAGCTTCCCCTATATTTGCTCTTTAAGAGAAGTCGTTTTGACTGACATTTTTCAAGTAGTTTTCCTGAAAAAGAAGGAAAATGACATATTTGATACTCTAGATTTACCGAGTGGATCATCACTCTTCAGTGCAACACCCTCTGCTATTCAGCCTTACTCTGAGTTTGCCAAACCCCTGCAGAACAAAAGCAAATCAGAGCAAGTTATTTCCTTATTCTAATTCTTCAGCTCAGGTGCCAGGGGCTAGGAAGTCACTCCTAAGCCAGTAAAAGTCCTTGCCAATCCACTTATAAACAAACAGCTGCTTCTACAGTTTCAGGATCTGGCCCTGGCTGTCCTCACACTCCTTCCCTCGAGGTGAGGTGTAGATCCCAGGACAGGGAGGGAAGGAAAGCGCCTCTGTCCGAGGGCACCCCCTAGCGTCCGAGGGCGCCATCTGCGCTGGCTCCCACCAGAACTGGCTTCTTGGTTTACAGAAGTTGAAAAAAAGAGGCCAGAGGGAAAAAAGGAATACAGAGGTTATTTCACAGATTGTGAGATGTTCTGGAAGCAGTCCTTGGAAGCCATATTCTGTGGTGAGGGAGCAAAGGCTTGGTGTGTAGCCACCAAATCTTGCTGGCTTGGGAGGAGGGCTCCTGCCTAATGGGGTCAGGCAAAGAAACCCGAGTTCTGAGCAAGTTTCCTCAGCCCAGAAATGTACATGTAGTGCTTGCCTCATGGGAGTGTTTGTGCAAGTAAGGTAATGCATGGGAGGCACCTACTATATGACCTGGTCCAAACTAGGTCATCATAAGTGGTGTTGAATCTGAAATTTACATGAGTAAGAAAAAAAAGCTTTACTAAATTAGCAGATTAGTAATATGACTTATTTTAATTCCTTTGGTTTATTTATACACAAGGTTTTCAAAGCTTGTCAGGAGCTAGGCTGCAAAGGGAAATGTGCTTTTTTTTTGAAATTGGGTTTTTTTTTTAATACGGTTAACACTTTTAGATACATTGTCCATGTTGTATTACAATAATCTTTTTCTCTTTTTTCCTCTTGTTCTGACTTTTAGGAAATAAGCGATTTAATAACCTTACAGCTCGTTAATCATAGCACAGTAGTTTCCACAGAAGATATAGCACCCAGTGTCCCATTATTTTCACCGGACAGTGGGGAAAGCAGGTTTGGGTTTAACATTAGGAAGGACTTTCTGGCTTCCAGACAGCTCCATGAGATGCAATTCACCCAAACTGTGAGCTAAATCCCATTGTCCAGTCCATGCAGGGTGCGAAAGTGCATTACAGTCCCAGAGTCCTGCTTGCAGCTCTCCAGCCCCATGGCCTGGTCTGCTTTGTGATGAAAGAAGTTCCCATAATGGAATGGGTTCATCTGGAGCAAAAGTCATGGATGTTGAAGCGACGATTCCTACCCTGGATAGAAGTCTGACCAGGCCATTTCATTCTTTTTTTTTTTTGTACTGGGAATTGAACTCAGGTCCTTGCACTTGCGAAGCAGGCACCAGAACCACTGAGCTAAATCCCAGGCTGGGCTATTTCATTCTTAATTGTCTTATCAAATACTTACGGGCTATCCATCTCATAGGCACAGACCTCAACTCAAGGACAGAAACATGAATAAGACCCCTCCCTTGTTCAGGGGCGATGGTAAACCTACCCTTCATGCTCCACTCAGCACGATGGCATCCTGACACTCTTCCAGCCGTCAGTTTCCCCTAGCAGAAGCTAGAACTGCTGCCTGTGCCTTCTGCCTGGAAGACTGTTCTTCTGTCCTTCCTGAAAACAGAAACCTGCTCTTCCACAAATTTAACGTCCACACACTTGTGGACACACAGTTGTAACTCGTTATCTGATTTAAATTCTCAAAATGTGTTTGCTTGCAAGATAGTTCATTTCCAGCCATTATGAAAAAGAAGCTGAGGGAAGTCTGATTTTGGTGACAAAGAAGGATCTTTCGGGCTGGGGGGTGCAGCTCGATGGTGGGATATTTGCCTAGCGTGCACAAGGCCCTGGCTTTGATCTCCAGCATGTCAAAGAAAGGGGTTGGGGGAGGAAAAAAAGGATCTTCTGATCTTCGAAAAAGTTGTCGTTGGGGGCGGGGTTAAACTTGTTTTATAAGTGGCTCTGTATGATGTCTTTCAGGAAGGAAACCAAAATGTCATCTTCTAAAAGTAATGAGGTACTCTGGGTATGCTTGGTAGTCATAAAATACCACAAATAAACTCGGGTTGTGCTTATTGTCTGTGACTGTGTCGTACAGGTCAGTAGGATTTTGGGGGACTTTTGAAGGAGGCACAATTAATGAGCTGTGTCCATTTGTGTACATGCCGGTGAGTACTCGCACGTAATACATGTGCTTTTTCCCATTTGCATCTGGTTTGGAGTATATGTCATTGGCAGAATAATTGGCATTGACAGCAAAATAGGTTCCCTTTCCATATGCCACAGCTGCCAAGAGAAAAACAAAACACTTGTAAGAGTTTCAGTTTGGCGCCTTCTTTGACATGTTGGCCCAATATGTCAAGTCATGTAAAAGACGTGTTAGATTTCAACACTGAGGCATTTCATTTTTAAAAGTCAAATTTCCCACCTCACAGCCCACACAGGCCCCTTTTGGATGAAACACAGTGAGTCCTACCCTGAAACTTGGGCTACAGCCTGGCCACCAACTGTGGGAACACAATTCGCCTGAAGTTCTGGGTTCTCACAGCTGGCACCCACCTTGGGCAGCCCGACTCCCTGCTTCCTTACCGTTCTTTCCAGCGTAACTGCGGTTAAATCCGTTCCTGTTGACATAAGGCACCGAGTCAACATCGGTGCCGTGGAAGAGTAGCTTCTCGTTGGTGCCCTGGCCGTTCTTGCTATCCATGGTCTTTTTCTTTGCCTGGTAGCTATTCCAGAGATCTGGATTCTGGATCCTCTCAATCTACAAATCATCAAAGACAAACATTCTGCCAGTGCCGAGAGCACTTGGCAAAATGCAGCAAACAAGACACGATCAGTGTTTCCTAAATAAAAATTAATTCAACAGCAAACCCAGTGCCAGATAGCAGCTTTTGGCCTCCAGAAATCTTTTTAGATCCAGTGTTTTAAACATTAAAAATAGGCACTGCGACCAGTCTTGGTTTAACGTCTGACATCTTTTATGCACTGCATGTGAGCAAACAATGTCCAGGATGTTAAGTACTCACTATGTATTAGGCTGACCCAGGCCCTCCAAAGGCTCATTACGTGCGCTCCCGTTACTCCTGTCACTGCCTGCCCGGCTCTGTCATGGGCTCTTGCCACCCCAGCTTTCCTAGGACACTGGCTGAGCTAGCCTTGAACACAGGACCTTCACACTGTGCTATAACCCCAGCCTTTTTTTGTCGAGACAGGGTCTTGCTGAGTCACTGAGTTGCCCAAGCTGGACTCGATCTTGTGATCCTCTTGCCTCAGCCTCCCAGAGTGCTGAGATGACAGGTGTTCGGCACCATGTCTAGCAGCTGGCCATGTTCTAACAGTGAGAGAGGCACTGGAGCATCTAAGAAAGAAATTAGTGGAAAGATGTAACTCGGATCCACTTGGAAGAGTGTGGCATTAACCCTGCTGGGAGGGGATCATACTGTAGACCAGAGTGGCCATGCCTTTGGCTGCCTTTGAGCTGTGGCTGCTCGGGATGTGGCAGAGACTGTCTGGCTCCCAGGTCACAGGTCAGCATTTTTACTCCTCTGCTCGGCAAGTAGGGTTCCTTCCATAAAGCTGTGCTGGGGGGTGAGCAGTGGGCTGCAGTGGCCAGGGGCCTTCATGGAAAGGCGCTAACTAAAGACTCTGTGCTATCAGAATCCTTTTCTGTTCTGCAGAACTCTCAGGCCTAACACTCTTACCTGACTTCACCTGGTCTTCTCTGTTGCTGTCACTTCATTTTGACTTTCCTATTTTAAATTATGATAACTGTTTGCCCTCTAGTTCAGAGTCTCAGCATTACCCGCTAATTTTTCCATCTAATTGGATTTACAATTTTTTTTATTTTATGAAAAAATAAAATGTTATAAGCATTAAGGGAGTAACATTGTTAGACTTATCTTTTCCTCTTTTTCTTCACCTACAGCCAAATTTCCAATGTTCAAACTACATCCATTTTATTTCCTCCATGTACCTGAAGTCTTGTTTATTTAACTCAATTTTTAAAACTTTCCATTTTTTTCCCTAAAGTTTTGAAATCATTCTCGATTTCTTAGTCTTCATTCTAGATTTTACAAATGTTGTTTCTTAGACTTTTAAAATGTAATAAACACACAAAGAGAATACTTATTTCAAGGCTAGGGGTACAGCTAAGCGATGGAGCCTGGGTTTCCATCCCCAGTATGTATAACAAGTACACATCATGTTCCAATACTATTTCACACATTATTTCAATGTTTTGGGATCAAACCTAGGACCTCAAGCAGGCTAGGCAAGTACTCTACCTCTGAACTAAACCCACAGCTCTCAAATAATTTTGAACACAGTACTCTGCGTCAGTATTACCAATGGGATAAACACCAAGGTAAGAAAAAATTTGCAAATAAATTCAACCTTAAACTTTGTTTAGTAGGTTTATTATTAGAAACAGGTTTCTGGCTATGGTAGATTATGTGTATTAGACCAACGCTCTCACCAACAACTACCAGAAAAGGTAAGGGAAAAAAAAAAATGTGCAGACAAGGATCTGATAAACCAAGATGCCAGAGGGAAAGGAAATACCAAGCAAAACAATAAAGTCAGAAGATAGTGAAATAACTTCCTCCAAGTGCCTAAAGGAAACAATTGCCAGTCCAGAATGCTGTTCTCAACAAAATATCCTACAAGGTGAAATAAGGACATTTTCAGAAAAACAAAAACTGAGGAGGATTCACTACTACCAAATCTGCATGAGAAGAACAAAATCCATACAAAATCATCCTCGCTGAAGGATGGAAAAGCAGGGAGTGTTGCAGAACAGTGGGGGAAAAGGGTAAATATTTTGGTAGCTGTTAAAAGTGCAAAATTCAGGAGGGGGACAAATGTGGCTTAAAACATTCAAAGATCACTGCACCCTCTAGGAGATGATAAAGTATAATGGTTTACATATGAGTTAAATAAGTCAAGGACACACATAATTCTAGAGTAAAAAAATTAGAATACATAACCAACAATCTGATGGGGTAGAAAATACAATGATAGAAATGCCTGATCCAAAAGAGGGCAGAAAAAGAGAAAAAACAAAGAATAGGTGGGGTAAATAGAAAAAGATTAATGTGGAATATTTTAATCCAAACATATCAGTAAACATAGTAAATACAATAAACAGATTAAGCACTCTAGTTAAAAGATAAAAAGAAACAAGTCTGTGCTGCTAGTGAGAAACACATCTTAAATATTAGGGCTATAAAAAAGTTAAAAGAAAAATAATGAAAAAATATAGTGTACTAACAGTAATAAGACAGCTAGTATAGCTATTTTAAAATTACTACTAATAGTAATTTTGGTATCATAATTTTAAAACAATTTTATGTATACTGTAGGATAAGATAAGTTAATTACTATTCCTAGGAACCAAACTCTCTGTTGTACAGGTAAAGAACAAAACAAAATATATTAAGAAAATTTCTATATTACAGTTTGATTGGAAGCATGAATACGAGCTTGTGGGTTTCTCAGCTTTAACCGGGAAGCAGCAACACCTCAGTAGCAGTGAGTACAATCAGCCCACAGCTCTGGGTTTTTTACTGCTGTTCCCCTTTGCAAGGAGTCCAGGCCTTTAGGGAGATGTCTGATTGTGGCCTGGGACAGTATGAAAGACCTTGTGCCAGAAAGCAAAGAAATACTCCAGGATAATGGGGTCATCAAAAGAGATGGGAGCCAACTTGCTACTGGCTGTTTGTAGGATAATTTGTGTATCTAATAGGATAATCGCTGTAATTTAATATAATACTACATCTCTAAAAAGCAGGATGGAAGAAAACGTATTCTCTGAAAATTTACCAGATAAGAAACACAGAAAGAATGACAGCATTAGAAAATCTCCTCACAACCTCCAGTGTGATAATGGATTTAGGCAAGGATCCTCACTGGATGTTAAAATCAGTGGCAAGAGGTTGTTGGGTAGCTGCACCATCATGAACAGTGGGGCAACCTTGCCAGCAGGGTTCCTGATGGGATGTATCACCCAGGAGGTATTGCAAAAAAAAGTTTTTATTTTTATCTGAACTTAAGCCTTTAAAACTAACTCCTACTTTATTAGAAATAGACGATAGAGGGCCGGGGATTTAGCTCAGTGGTTCCACTGCCTGCCTCGCAAGCTCAAGGACCCAAGTTCGATCCCCGGTACCAAAAAAGAAAAAGAAAAGAAAAAGTAATAGAGGATAGAGAAATAAATGAAATGACACTATGATGAATGAAAGCTAGACTTTCATTTTTTAAAACTGGCTTGAATTTGTCCCAAAATGTCAAGGCACAAAAGATCCAGAATATGGGACATTCTACAATAGAACTAAGCTCTTTAAAACTCAACCTCATGAAAAATAAGTTTTAAAAATGTGAGAGGGCTAGCCTATATTAGAAGACAGGGAAAATACATAATAACCAAATATCGTGTGTTAACCCAAATTGAGAGGGGAACATAAGATTTTTTGAGCCATTGGAGAAATCTGATTTATATTCAATAATACGGATATTATTGAATTAATGTGTTTTACATGGTGTGATGGTATTTTTGTAATTTAGGAGAATATCCTTATTCTTGGTAAATACATAATAAAATAGTGTCATTATATCTGCAACTTACTTGCAAAAATTTCAGTAAAAACAAGAAAAAGATAATATGCAAAATTGTTGAATGTAAGTGGAAGGGTTATAGATGTTCAAAATCTTAATCATAAGACATAACAGTGCTGAAGGATGACAGATCCATCGTTTGGTGGGGGGGTTTCACATTACCAGGTAAAAACATTCCCTGGTGAGGTGCAGAGACAGAAGAGAAAGTAAGAGTCCAGAGCGTAAAGACCAGAGCTGGAGGTTTGAAGGAAAAACAAATGCCAGTGATATGAAAGGGAAATCGAATAAAAGTATGAAAGTAAACTGCCACAGAAGCCCAGGAAGAAGAAAATTCTAAAGGGCAATATTAGTAACATTTAAAGTGGAAGTGCGAAAATAAATGAGATAAACAAGGAAAGAGCCATTGAATTCATCAAGGTAATACACCCTCGGTCTGCAAACAGACAGCAGCAGAAAGGAATCCTGATTAGGAGCCTCTGTGTGTCTCTTTGTTGTGCTTATTAGCTATCAAATGCAACTTTGAACTTGTGGCTCTGAGTTTTTATTAGCTTGCTTCGCCAAGTACATACGGCATATCTTTATTATTCTAACATCACACTGCCGTCTAAGGTATTGCACAACTGACACACATAATCTGTCTCAGTAGTTATCGTGATGTTATAGAATCTAGAATCCACATTCTGTCCTCCGTAAACATTCTAATTCTGCATAGAAAAAAAGTGGTAGGAAGAGTCTGAAAGATACTTACCAGGGACCACAATATCACTTATTTCCACTGGCAAGAAACTCCACGTCAGCAGAAGGCTTACCTTCTCAATGACAAACTGTGAGCAGGTCTGATTAAACTTCCCTGCCACGGTGTTGAATTCCACGTCGCCAGGCTGCAGCTGGACCACACAGAGGTTCTGCTGCTTCATATCACTCCAGTACCCAGGAAGGTCAACTGCAAAGCAGATATGTGAGGACCCCCGTATGGTCCCAGTATGCTCTGAAAAACGGAGTATCCTCTGCGTTCTTGTGTTACAATCTCCTAATTCTCTGAGGTCAAGAAGTTCCTTATCTTTTTAGGAGAATTTGTTTTGTGATTTGTTTTGTTTTGTATTTGGTGTCAGGGATCGAACTCGGGCCCTTGTGCTTGCAAGGCAGGCGGTAGAACTACTGAGCTAAATCCCCGGCCCCTAGGAGAATGTTTTGCAAAGAGCGGACTGCAGGCCACCCATATCAGAACCAGCTCAAATGTTGGTTTCAAAAAGAAGAGGGGCTGGTGGCGTAGCTTGGTGGTGGAATGCTTGCCTAACTTACGCAAGGCCCTGGGTTAAAGGCCCAGAACCAAAAAAGAAAAAGAAGTCGCAGATATATTGAATCAGTCTCTGAGGGGTGGAGCCTGTGCACCTACATCTTAAATCTTGATGCTACCAGGATACTGGTAGGTACTGGTTCAGTACACCCCATCTGGATTTCCTGTTTAGCCTTCACTTTCATAATGCAACGAAAGATCACTTCCATGCCATGCTGCGAATAGTAGCTATTGTTTTGCTTCGGCATGGATTTCTGCCAGAATGCTCCACCATCACCACCTCTTCACTTTTTCTGAGATGTGGTTGGGTGGTAAGTTTTAGTATGTGACACACTGAAGTGGCAGCTCTATCTCCTACTCTGTTAAGCAGAATACTATAGGTGACTTGTTGTTTCCCAGGTGTGCGCAAAACCTGAGTTTTATGTGCTGCTTTCACAAGAGATGAATATAGTGTATTGGAAACCAGGTCGCTATTTTCTAGTGGGGCACTAACGTGGTTTGCAGGCAGGAAGGGCTGTCTACACAAGACAAGCTTTCCTTCTTGGGGAGCAGATGCAACCAGGGAATCTGAGGCTGCTCCCGGATGTGTACGCCAAGGAGCCTGCTCCCAGCAGAGTGACTTCTGGGAGGAAAATGAGGATCCTCCCTGGGTCATCAGTCACACACACAGAGAGCCCATTGGTCACAGCCTGTCCTCTCCATTTTGTCCCTTTGCCCTTTTGTTCTAAAAATCCTTGGGCCATTTTTCTTTTAAGCCTGTTGTTTTCCCTCCTCTGGCTGAAGAAGCCATTGCCTCCCTAGCAGAACTGGCTCTGGAGAGTATAAACCATAGAGGTGGGAACAAATGCAAGTCTTGGGCACTGTAGTCAGGATCCTTGTGCTGTTGAGTACATCCATGCCATGTTTTCCTGACCACAATGTAGGCTTTTTTGAACTCAGAGACCAAGTTTTCTAGTGTATTCCATTAAGGTTCCTTGAGCTTCATCTCCTTGAAATTTTGATGTATGTACAAAAATTAAGTCCAAAGCAGATGTGAAATAACGGATGACAAGCATGAAAATTTAAACTCACCTTCGGATTTTGTGAAGCGCTGAATAATTACACTGTGTCCATCTGGACTGCTGGCAGTGCTGTCCTTCAAGTTCACTGTGTATGACTGATTGTTAATTTTGACAACAGTACTCTTGTTCTTTGCTTTCCTTGCATCTTCCAATTGCAGATTGGTTATTTTGTCAAAACGATGAAAAGTGTTATCCTCACCATATCGCCATTCTATAAATTCACTAATACAATCTGCCCTGTTTTCTTCTTCTTTGGCTGATCTCACCTTCTTCATCATTTCTTCAATTTTATCTCTAGCCTCCATCACATCTCTGGTAATTCCCAAAACCTCAATGAAAGGTCTCTTCTGGTCTAGTGAAATGGTAATATTTAACTTCTTCTGCAGCTCATTCAGTTCCTGATACTCCTTTTCATCAAAATCTTTGATACACTCGTCTGTATTGGTGTAAGAATACTGCTCCTTTGCAATCAGGGCCTCTAACCAGCGGACAGCTTGGTCCACACAGTTTCTGTTTTCACCACACAACTGGAAGACCACCAGTTCTGTTTTCTTTTCCAAAACCAAGGCCTTCTTTTTTGGGTGAGGTGGTTTTGAAAAGCCAAAAAAGGCTAAAGAGAAAAAAAAGGTAGATTAGCTATTCCTCATGTAAACCCAATATTAGGAACATGCATTTCATAAAAATCAAGAACTCACAGGCAAATTTAGATATCAGCGATGGTTGGTGAGAAGCCTGCAATCCTTCTCTTTTTTTCATGCTGGCATAAAATACATCCAGTACTTTGCTCTGAAAGATAACAACTTTAACTTTTTTCACATATTGAACTGACTCTTTCTGGATAAAGTCTTCAATGGCATCAAGCATAGCTTCAGCAACCTTATTTTGGTCTTGTCCAGCACTTCCTGGAAAAGCAAATAATAAAACTGACTGGAGAAAAAAAAAACCCAATTGGAAAATGCAAAAAAACAAATTGGGAATGCCAGTTCTTACAAAATAAATGCCAGTGCCCCAACTCTTTAATCAGTGTACAATTTTCTAACAATATAGGTAAAAGTGGATACTTTTGAAGTCCTAGATGCAGTGGAGAGTTTTTGTTCCAGGATGTCAGGAAGCCAACTGGCCAGCAAGGAATAAGCAATCCTGAACCCCAACTTCTGGTCTCCGACTTTGTTTATCTGTCAGTTGATTCCAAATCACTGTGCTCCTTCCCTTCAGTTACAGGATGTACCAACTTGTCTTTTTAGTTCACTAGTGTTCTCAAAAAAAGTCATAAAAGACAAAAGATACTAATATTTGTTGACACAGCTCCCAAGACAGAAAAATATGATTTTCCTTAAGTCATTGCTTGATTATATGTATCTATATTCTCCCACGTGTATCTGGGGACTATATTTAAACAAAAGTAATTTTGTAAGACATGCAAAGTTGTAAGCTATTTGTTATAATCTCTAATTCTTTGGATACAAGTTATCCTAAGTCTCCAGAAAATCTTTACTCCAAGAATCCTTGAGATTCTAGCTGACCAGCAGGGCTCAAGGTTGCCACTGAGCAGACATACCCATGCTTCCGGCACACTCCATCCTGTTTCTCAAGCTACTAACGCCATTGTTTTGGCAAGCTCATGAAAAATATCTTTCTGGCCAAGGAAGTGGTTGCACATGAATGGCAGTTGGCGCAGTCACGTGACAGGTGATGTAAAAGCTTCCCGGCCATGCTGGTGTGATAGATTAAAAGCCTATTCAGATTATTCCTGTCGATGGTGCCCACTACTATTGCAGAAAGCGAGAGCAGACCTCTTTGACTTGGCTATGTACACAACTGTGGGAATGTAGCAAACCCTATACAGAATTAACAGAGAGAGTTTTTTCAGATTTTTTTTTTAAATCCAATGAAGAGAGAACGAGGGGAACCCTCATTTACAAATCTGTGATTTTTCCCATGGTATGTGGAAGGCTTTAATGGAAGTATTCAGATCATTTGTATATTCTCAATAAACGTCTGCCACGTCCCAGCATCCCAGGCCACTCAGCCAGGACACAGTGACAGGAAGGAGGAATGGGGGTTCAATAGGTGAAGTATGGAAAAGTGAGGGGAGGGCTTTGCCAGAGAGAACCGCGTCACAGGAGCAGAGGCAGTTCAGGCTGTCACAGACAGGGGAGCAACTGGTTTTTGAGAAAGAGGGCACTGATTGCTTCTTAGCCTTTTGTCTAAGATCAAGTGGAGAAAGATTAATCTGCAGGGGTTGGAGCAGGCAGAAAAGTAGAGAATACAGATCTAGGCAGGAAGCTAGCATAAAAGCTTAGACAGAAGACAAGTGCTGAACAGAGAGGAGGCTGGAGTGGGGAGTCCGGTGCGGGAAGAGAGTGGACATCTAGGAAGTAAAGTCAGGAGGACCTAGTGACAAAATGAGTTAGTCCTTGACCCTGCCTTCCCTTCTTTTGCCACCCACAAGACTTCATGATCGCATGAGCCACACTTTACTGCAATTATTTGTCTACATGCCTGACTTTGCTACTAGGCTTGATGTTTCTTGTGGCCTGCACCTTTTCCTTAGTTGTCTATTTCTTTTGCCCAACTGTAAAAATATTGAGCCTCATACTGAGGTAATTAATTAATGAGCTAAGGAATGTGAGGGTAATAAAGAGGGCAGAGTCAAGGATTCCAGGGGGAAAGTGATGTTTTTCATATGACTGGGGACAGAAGAAGGATGGGGGGATAGTGAGTGGGAGTTTGGAGTCTGCCCTGAGCTTGACCACCCATTCCCTACGCCCTGTGTGGTGTCTGTATGGGACAAGGATGCTTCCTTTACTGCCACAGGCTGCCCTGCTCATAGTCCCTAATTCAACCCGAAAACCCCACCTGTGGATTTAAAGGCCAGCTCAGATAACTAAGAGAACAAGCAAGGAGAACCTGCTAGCCCTGACTTTACTTGTGCAGAGCAGCAAACCAGTGGGAGAGACAACAGGTAGCAACCCAGAAATACTCAAAGATGTATATAAAAATGAAAGACGGACTGGGGGATGTAGCTCAGTGACAGAGCACTTGCCTAGAAATGAAAGCTGCTTCCTCTCTGTGTTTTGCATTTTGATTCCACCCAAGGACTACCTTGGAAAGACCTGTACCACCCAAGGATGCTGTCTCCTAGACTAAAAGCAATTTAAGACTAGCTTTCACAGAGAAAAGAAACAACAACAAACAGATGGAAACAGAGACCCAGTGTCCATTAAAGACAGATAAGCAGATAGCCTGAAACATTGACAAAGGAAGAAAATGATGGCTCACGGCTAGGAACGGATAATACCATAAGGGGAATAAAAACATGAAACATCATTAAGTATACTTTAGAAACAGAGAAGTTGTAAAGTAGATGTACAATTCCATCTAGGAACATTCTGAGGAATAGGGTAGATTAAAGAAGGTGAAAAGGATTAGAAGGCCCGAAGAGTGACAAGGATATCTCAATTTATTGCCTCTGAACTTCTGGAGAACCTGGCAGGCCAGGCCACAACCCAACAACAGCTCCAATGCTGACTGTACTCTCGTCCTGCTGAGCCCCTAAGGGAGACCAGGCAGAAGTTCCTTGTCGATGTGCAGAGCCTCAAGGGTACCCGCTAGCTACTGATACACCAGAACAGTACACTAACATATGAAGAATCGCGTGATCATCGCACAGTTGGAGGAAAACAACAACTCAAAAGCAGCAAGCAGGATGAAGGAAGACGACAAGAGCGCAGAGTTTCTGACCTGCTGGGTCTGAGTGACTAAGGGGCCCCTACAGAGTCCTGAAAGCCACCAGACACGGGTGATGCTGAGTTGAGGGCTGCAAGTGTTCACCTGGCAGCCAGGAAGAGGTGCGCTGATGCTCTTCAGTGGGAAGGACAGAGGAGGAGGCAAAGGTGTGGGAGCCTGGCTGAACCAGAGCGACTCCATCTTGATCAGCAAACAACCTAGAGACTGTCGCTCCCCCCCCATCCCTTACAGGATAACTAATGATTAATTGTGAATTGTTAGGTGGCTGTTTTGAAGTAGCTAGGAAACTAGGTAGAAACTGTAGTGAACACAGAGGCCCAAGGCAGGTCACGCCACTCCTTGCATGCCTGTAGTCTGAATGTTCTGAACTTTATGATGATCTAGGTTGCAAATGGAACAATGGATAATCACTCTGCTGATCATTAGTACATGACGACCACTAGCTCAGATCAACTGACTCTTTGCCTTTGTCCTTTTCCTGTAAGTTTTAAGTGTAAACTCCCCTTTTCAGCCCTATATAAAATGGCCTCTGTTTCTTAGCTGGCCGCCTCTCTGAGCTACTTGGCTTGGGGAGTGCCGTCTGGCCAGACTAATAAAGGTCTATTAGCCAACTTGCCTGGTGTGTTCCTTCCTGGGTGACTCTCGCTATCGGACAAGCTCCTGGAGCCTCGCTGAGCTGCTGAGCCCAGCATCGTGAAGGCCTCTTGGCTGTTCACGCTCCAGGAGTAAAAGTGAGACACGAGTCTTACAAAGGGTCAAATGATGGAGGCAGCACAGAGAAGAGAAAGGAGAGAGGAACAAGTGCAAGAGTATTAGGGAAGCCTTCCTCACATCTCCCTTCCTGCTGTTCCTTCTCTTGCTTTCCCCTCACTCCCCCACCAACAGTACCCCAACTCACTTGATTCATTTGTTGTTGTTGTTGTTGTTGTTGTTTTTGTTTTGAGATGAAGTCTTGCTCTGTGGCCCAGAACACCTATGCTCAAGCTGTCCTCCTGCCTCAGCCTCCCCAGTAGGTGGAACCATAGATGCTCACCACTACACCCTGCTCATTTTTTTCTCCTTGTATTTCACCCACCCACAGGTTTGCTTATTTCTTCAGGGGCTGCCTTAGGGTGAAAAAGCTGTCCACTCTTAGATAAACCATCACAGGGAACCTCACTCAGATCCAGCTTATCCCAACCACATTAATACTCAGCACCAAACCCATGGGAAAGTGGACACCTTGGCACTGGTCTGGGCAGCCAGAGGCTACACACCTGTCCCAATGGCCGGAAGGCAAATGGATGAGTAACTCCGTTTCTCAGTTTCTTGCAGAACACAAGAAACTGATCTCTTGACATCATTTCCACCAACAACATGAATAATGTTCTTGCACATCAGTGATCCACCTTTAGTAATTATATACTCATTTTTTCCCTGTTGACCTGGAAAACACAGGCAAAAAGATACAACATTAGATGTTTCACCTACTCTTTGTTTAGAAAGCAAAATGTCTGATTTGGCAAGGAAGCATTTTGTAAATAAGAAAATTCCGACATACTACCTTTCGTGAAATCGTATGGATTAATTTATCTTTTTAATTTTGTGAGATTACTTTCCACTTTTAATTCTCTATAATTAGAATTTTTTCATAAAATGTGTGGCTATAAAATTGATGTGTTGCCTTTCCAACCCCAAGACTGTTCTCAGTCTCTTCACAACCTCTCCTATTCAGTCTTGCATTCATCATTTAAGACCAAAGCAGCACTGGGCCTTACCTAGGAGAGCACATTCCTGTTCCACTTCTTGTCCTGCATTTTCTAAAATTGCTTTGGAGACTCCTGATGAGAAAATGAAGATGATAACAAACATGACTTTAGGAAAGTTGCTACAGTGCACTTGGGACAAAGAGACTACCCCATTCTCCAGATCCACCCCCATCACCAGAGCAGTTCTACAACCAGGGTATTGCTAATGATAAAAAAGCAACATTCATAAAGTAACCGTTGGCAATTATAAGAAACACTATACAAATAATGTTAAAATTATTGATTACTCTTGACAAATCAATTTTACCCAAACCAGTCCGGCTACAGAAACTCTCCTTGTAGGGTCTACTATATTAATTATTAACTAGTCAAAATCATACAAGTGAAGCACCTGCTTTAAGATTAAACCTGTTTGATGTTGAATTTACGATCACATCTGCAGCTTCTTTGGTGATATCCCCAGAGGCCACCTGGAAGATGATGGGGCCAATCTTTATTTCATGCATTCCTAAATTAGGGCTCAAAACCGTGCCATATAACTCTACAAAGAAAACAATGGAGTCAGTCACCAAGTTAGCAAAAGTCAGCACCCTCCCTTCTCAGCTCTGCTCTCTAACTTGGACCCAGAGCACCAGGGATGGTCTATTTCCAGGAAAGGATTAGAAAATATAGTACATATCAAACATAGACTCTGTGCTGGCTGAGATGAAGACAGCCTTCTAGAGTCTGACTCTCCCACAATTATAAACAAAAACAAGCCTAATACAAAATACCACCACTTGGGAACTCTGTAAACAGCATCAGGTAGATTAGGGGAAGGAAAAACAGAATGCAGCAAATCACCAAAATTATACACCATGACCAAGCAGGATTCACCCCAGGGATGCAGGGATGGTTCAATATATACAAATCAAAAATTGTAATATATCACATTAACAGAACCAAGGACAATGATCAGGGCCAGGGATTTAGCTTAGTAGTACCTCGCCTGCCTCACAATTGCAAGGTCCTGAGTTCAACCCCTGGTACCCAAAAATAAGAAAAAAAAGAAACATGATCACCTCACTAGATGTATAAAAAGCATCTGACAAAATCAAACACCACCCATTCATGATAAAAACCCTAAAAATAATTAGAATAGAAGGTCTTTATCTTAATTTGATAAAACCCATCTATGTCAACTCAACAGCCAACATTATACTAAAAGATCAAAACCTGAAAGGTTTCACTCTAAAATCAAAAACAAGACCAGGATGCCCACTATCACTATGATTGTTGAATATAGTTCTGGAAACATTAGCCAGAGCAGTAAGACAAGGGAAAGAAATGAGGAATATGGATAGGAAAGGAAGAAGTCAAATGATCATTATTTGTTTAAGACATGATACTCTACACAGAAGACCTCAAAGACTCCACCAAAAGACTTCAAAAATCAATAACCAAATTTGGCAGCAGGACACAAAATCAACACTCAAAAATCAATAGCATTCCTGTACACTAATAACAAATGCACTGAGATATAAATTAGGGAAACAACACCTTTCACAACATCATGAAAAATGAAACACTTAGAAATCAATTTAATGAAGGAGGTGAAAGACCTGTACATTGAACGCTACAGTACTCTGAAAAAGGAAATTGAAGAGGATATAAAAAATGGAAAGATATCCCATTCGTGGATAGCCAGAACCAACACAGTGAAAATGGCAATATTTCCAAAACTGCTATACATATTTAGTGTAGTCCCAATCAAAATACCAATAGCATACCTCAAAGAACTAGAGAAAACAATCCTAAAATTCATATGGCATCATAAGAGATATACAATAACAAAAGCAATTCTGGGTAACAAGGACAAGGCAGGGGACATCACAATCCCCAATTTGAAGTTATACTACAAAGCTACCATGACAAAAAGAGTATGGTACTGGCAAAACAATAGACCTGAGGATCAGTGAAACAGAATAGAAGATGCAGAAACTCCAGACATACTCGGCTATCTTATTTTTGAAAAAGAAGCCAAACACCTTCACTGGAAGAAAAATAGCCTCTTTAATAAATGGTGCAGGGAAAACTGACTTTCCACATGCTAAAGATTGAACCAAGGCGAGTGGTGGTGAAACCGAGGCACATGTACCACAGCAGGCATGCAGAGCCTTCTGTCGGCACAGGCACATGAGCCAAGTTGCCATGGTGTTTTTTCTTTTCTTTGGTACCGGGGATCAAACTCAGGTCCTTGCGCTTGCAAGGCAGGCCACGGAACAGCTGAGCTAAATCCTTGGCTCATCCATGGTATTTTTTCTAAACTAAAACCTCAGTATTCAGGTTTAATTGGAGTGTTGGCACTTTGTGATAAATAAGTGGTTTTGAGTTCCATTTGGACACTCAGTCTCTAAAAGGTTCACCATCACTGGCTTGGACTCATCGCTTTCACCATGCACTAAACTAAAATCAAAATGGATCAAAGATCTAAATATTAAAACAAAACCACTAAATCTCTTGGAAGATGGAATAAGTAAAACTCTCAAAGACATAGGTGTAGCAAAGACTTTATGAACAAAAACCCTGATCACACAGAAGAAATTACAAAGAATTGACACCTAGGGCTGGGGATTTAGCTCAGCGGTTAGGTGGCCTGCCTTGCAAGCGCAAGGACCCAAATTCAATCCCCGGTTAAAAAAAAAAAAAAAAAAAAAAGAATCAACACCTGAGATCACATTAAATTAAAAAGCTTTTGCACAGCAACAGAAACCACCAACAGAGTGAAGAGATAACCCACAGAATGGGAAAAAATTTTACCAGCTACTCTTCAGACAAAGGACTAATATCTAGAATATATAAAAAACTAAAAAAAAAAGCTATTCCCCCAATTTAAAAATCCAATTAAAAAATAGGCATCTGACTACATTTCTCAGATAAAGAAGTACAAATAGCAAATAAGTACATGAAAAATGTTAAACATCACTGGTCATTTGAAAAATGCAAATTAAAACAACATTGAGATTACATCTCACTCCAGAGAGCCTGGCTATCTTTAAGAAATCAACCAATAACAAACGTTGGCGAGGTTGTGGGGGGAAAAGGAACCCTTCTCCATTGTTGGTGGGAGCGTAAATTGGAAATCAGTAAGGAAACTCCTCAAAAAACTAAAACTGGAGGTTCATTTTACCCAGGTGTTCCCCTCCTTGGTATCTTCCCAAAAGAGTTAAAAGCATCATACCACAGTGATATACACACACCCATGTTTATAGCAGCACAATTTTGAAGGGCTAAATCTGGAGACGGCCTACATGCCCATCTACAGATGAATGGATAAAGAAAATGTGGTGTTTATGTACAATGGGGTACTGCTCTGCCATAAAGAGGGATAAACTTGAGTCATTTTTAAGTAAATGGATGCAACTTGAGACCACAATTTTGAGTGAAGTAAATCAGAGGCACAAATTTAAATGTTGCATTTTTTCTTATGTGAGAAGGCCAAAAGGTAAATCAGAAGCAAAATGAGGATAGATATTGGGAAGTAGTAAGAACATGTTCAAATGGAAAGGGAAAAAAGGGAGGAGAGTGAGAGAAGGGAAGGAAAGGAAAAGGGATTTAAAAAAAAAGACTGAAGGGAAAATGGAAGCAAAGCTTTTATAGATGGGGAGAGGAAGAAGAGTTAAAGGAAGAGGAGGGGAAATGGGAAAAAAGAATAATTAAGATATATTATGTACGAGCACAAATTCCCTATGATGTATGTGATCATTATGTAGGGCAAACACGCAAAACAGAATCATTTTTTATAAAGATACAACAGAATCAAAATTTTATAAGTTTTAAATGCAGTATCTGAATTTAAAAATTCACTGCTTGGGTTCAATAGCATAATGAGCAAATAAAAGACTTAGTTAACTTGAAGGAAAATCAATATAAACTTTCCAGCTGAAGAAAAAAGAAAAAGCATTGATAACAGGGAGAACAGCTCCTTAGAGACCCAAGGGACACTGTGAAAAGCTTCTTTGTCCGTATGATTGGACTATCAAAATGAAACAGAAGGGTATGGGGCAAAAAAAAAAAAAAAAAAAAAAATTGAGTAAGTCATAATTTTAAAATCCCCCAATTTAATAAAAAGATGTACATTTGTAGATTTGAGAATCCTCAGTAAAGCTGGGCAATGTGGTACGTGCTTGTAATACCAGAACTCTGGGAGGTGGCGGAGGCAGGAGGATCAAAAGTTCAAGGCCAGCCTGGGCAACATAGCAAAACTTGTATCTTGGAAACAAAACTCCAGAGACCTCCCAAAAGGAAGCTCAAAAAAACTTCAACAAACTAGACCGAGAAGCGTTTGGTTGGTGTTATCCCTCAATGTGTCTATTTTGGAAAATCCATATTATGATTCTTTGAAAGTAGTGGTCTTGCCACTATTTAAAAACCCACTGTGATTATATAACTTGGCCCACCTACTCTTTTACCCTAGGCCATATAACTTTGCTAAGGTGTATGGAACATAATTTAGTGCATTATTTATCACTCAATATTTTTCAGAAACATCATCACTATCATCTTTTACCTGCCAATGAACACTTAGCAACTATAAATCATTTGTGAATTTAAAAGCTTTAGCAAACCTTGCTTATCTTCAGCCTTGGGAACTTTATCACTAAACTTTCCATTAATCCTTTTGGCAAATTCAACTGAAAAGGCCTGAAAACAAACACAGTTTTCACAATTACACTCTTCACTTAATGAATGAATAGACTCATCAGGGCTTTTGAGACTATATACATAATTTAGAAAACAAAAACAACTGAATTATATGTTATATAATCCTACTTTTAAAAGTTAAAGTATAGTTGTGGCCCTGTCAATGGGAAAGTTTCAGAGAGAGGCAGGCAGTGGAACCACTGAGCTAAATCCCTGGCCCTACAAGTGTATTTTTACAGTATGTATTAAATTTTCTATGTTCACGAGAAAGGGAAAGCTTTACACTGAAAGAGTCTTGAGAAACATCCTGCCAGGCATGATGGCTCACACCTGTAACCCCAGAATTTGGGAGGCTGAGGCAAGAGGGCTGCCTTGAGTTCTAGACCAGCCTAGGCTACATAGTGAGTTTAAGATCTGCTGGGATTACACAGCAATACCCTGTCTCAAAAAACAAAACAGAACAGGGCCTGGGATTTAGCTCGGTGGCACTGTGCCTGCAAGCACAAAGTCCTGAGTTCGATCCCCCCCACACCAAATAACAATAATAATAATAATAATAATAATAATAGGAAGGGAAGTGGGGAGAGATGAAACATACTGGCCTGTTATGGTTTGTATCGAGCTATCCCCCCAAAGCCTCATGTGGTCATAGGCTTTTTCAGAGATGGCTGGATCAGTATGTGAAGCAGGAACTGATTCACATGCAAGTTTAGGCTCAAGGGCACTAGGATTAAGCGTATGAGTGCTGCCCGCCCTAAGCCTGAATAAGATAAAGCGGGCAGGGAGATGCTGTTCAATTCCCTTGTTGCTTTTGCTACCTTGTTGTGCATGCCACGTTGTTTCTCCTCTGCCGTGTGCCACTCTACCTTGGAACCAGCCAACTATGGACTAAAACCACCACAAACTTTCCATCTTAAACTCTGTGTGTGTGCTATTTTATCTCAGCAATGAGAAAAGTAACACACACACAGCCACAGGTTGATAATGGACTGAATTTAAAAGACAGAATGGAGTTCATTAGACTATTTTATCTACTTTTGTGTGTGTTTTAAATCTGCTGGAACAAGAAGTTAAGTTTTTTCCATATCCATAATCTTCCATGAGACTTAACATGCTACAGCTAGTCAACACTATTTTCTTATTTTCCTGTCTGAAGAATACATGAAAACAAAAAACTCCCATTCCATCGACCAAGAAGATATTTGACAACACCAGGTTCCAAACCAAGGTTACCAGAATTACCAGAAACGAGCATAGACTTTACCTGAATATTTTCACGATCACTTGGGTGCATCAGAAGGTGAACCTCTTGCAGGGTTTTCAGTGGCTTTTTGCTACTAAATTCGAGCACTGTTGAAAGGAGTAATTCAGCAAGTATGGTTTTAGGAAATCCTAAATTTCCTGTTCCTATTGCTGGAAATGCAATTGATTGTAAAGACAGTCTCTCAGTGATCTCCAAACAGTCTCTGATTATGTCTTCCATGATCTGAAAAGCATAAAGCACATCCTTATACATCCACTCTAGAAATGAGAGTCAGAACCAAAATTTAGAAGAATTTAGCAACTTTGACTATAATCGCTGCTACTCATTTTACTTCCTACAGAGTTTAGAAGTAAACAGAAAAAGAAAGAAAAATGCAGGAAGAGAAGAAAAAGAGAACAGGAGAGATATTTAAAATGATTCAAATTCACTCAACCCCTCTACCATGAAGGAAACAAGAAAGCAACAACTGCTCTGTTCCTCCATTCTCCTCCAGCCTCAGGCCCTCAAGTCATTTTCCTCACTGATGTTCACAGTCTTCAATAATCCTTCCCTGTCCCCCAATACCGAATGAGCACAGCAATCCATTCGTATTATTAACTAGTTCTCCAAAGTCAGCTAAGCTCAAAGAAATGGCTCTAATAATAGAACCTGCCAAAATCTGGCAGAAGAGAAATAGGCCCTAAACTGTAGTAAATGCACAGAAGAGTCCAAAGGGCCACCCGTGCCCGGGAGAATTAAAACTGGCCCCACCTCTCGTGCAGATGTGTTGTTTGTCCACGATGGAGTCACCACGTGAAGCACACGGCGGCACTGCAGATTGCAACCACTGGTTTGGAGAATCGTTCCCACGCTGGCAGTTACCCCTTGTCCAGCTGTGTATAACTCCTTCTGGATCTCTGGCCCAGCTTTTTCCAAGAGGGCCTGAGAAAGGGGCCCTCGGTAGAGTCCAAGATCCGAAGGAATGGAGTTGACAACAACATGAGTCTTAGGAACAAAATCAAAGATCCGTTTCAACTTCTGGAACAAGGCATTCGGCGATGATTAACTACAGGTGAGCGGCCGGGCTTGGTGTAAGGAGGGGGCCATCAAAATGATTAGTTTTGGAGACTGAAGTACTAACCCAGGACAGTGTTATTAAATACTGATTTGAGAAACATTCCAGGACCAAGGAGAGCTGCCCCAAAGTACACATTAAGTGGTGCAGGGTGGCCGAAGGAGTCCAGAGGAAAGCCCCGCGTGGCTGGTGAAGACGCACATGAGACGTGGGGCCTGAGAAACGGGAGACAGCCACCGGGAGCGGCACGGACATACCCACAGTTGGCCGTGAGCCGTGAGCAGATTAGTTTGACCTGATCGACAGCTTCTGCGGCAAAATGGTGCCAACCGGGCCAGCCGTGTTACGGCAGAGTGGCGTTTCAGTCAGCAGCCGTGGGGGCTTTTGCAGATTAATCAGGCTGTGTTAGAGAACCCAGCAGAAGAGAAGATACGTGATGGTCCCCCACGAATCACCGAGAGCAACGCACTGCCACTACCAACACCGACATTACCAACTTCCATTCATGCTCAGGGTCAGGGGGGCAGGAACGGAACCCGTTCCCATCCCTGACTCTTGTTTAGAAGAGCCTTTCATTTGTTTGGCTTGTAAACATAATAAACAAAATCATTTTAATATTTCAAATTAGTACAATGGTTAAGAACCAGAACAAAGTCCAGTCCTACCAATTGCTAGCTATGGGACTTGGGCAAACTACCTAAAGCCTCCAAACCTTATGAGTGAATGAAAACAATAATCCTAGAATCTACTTCATGGCATCAAATGAGAAAAATGCATGGCAAGCACTCAGCACTGAGCCTGGCACAAAGTAATACTCTATGTTAGCTGTGACTCATCATTATTATTTAAGCTTATCGTAAGTCACAGTCTAATTAGTCTTCTAGTTCACTATGTTAAACTAAGAGGGAAAAATATTTTAAAGAAATTAACACCTTGAGCTTGGTGTGGTGGCACACACCTATAATCCCAGCACTAGGGAGGTTGAGGCAAGAGGATCTCTGTGAGTTCAAGACTCAGGTCAGTCTCAACTACACAGTGAGACCCTGTCTCAAAAAAAAAAATTAACACCTTGTACAAAAGAGTAGAAAAACACTTGGCCTGTAAGTAGGATAAAATATTTGCAAATCAGATACCTCATAAAAAACTGGTAGCCAAAATATACACAGAACTCAGTAACAGAGATATTCCCGATTTAAAGGCAGACAAAGGATCTAAATAGACATTTCTTCAAAGAAAATACACAAACATCCAAAAAGAACATGAAAGGATGTTCAAAAGCACACGAAAGGATGTTCAAACGCACATGAAAGGATGTTCAACAGCATTAGTTTTTAGGGAAATGTAAATCAAACCATGGTAAGATACAACTTCACACTCACTGGGATAGCTATCATTTTTTTAAAAAGTTATATAATAGGGCCGGAGATTTAGCTCAGTGGTTCTGCTGTCTGCCTCGAAAGCACAAGGACCTGAGTTCCATCTCTGGTACCAAAAACAAACAAACAAATAAATATAAATAAATAAAAAGTATATAATAGTAATTGTTGGAAAAGATATGGAGAAACTGAAACTCTCAACTCTGTTGACAGGAACATAAAATGGTAAGTTCACCATGGCAAACAGCATCACAGTTGCTTAAAGTCATGGAGTTACCATGTGACCAAAGGCATACATTGAAAAGAACTGAAAACAGGCATTCATACAGAACTTTGTAAACATGTTCAGAGCAACATCACTCATAAAAGTCAAGCAGCAGAGACAAGCCAAACATTTACTGAGTGATACATGAATAAACAATGTATATCCATACAGTGAGCTCAGCTATGAAAAGGAGCAAAGCACGGATACAGTTACAGCAGGAATGAGCCCTGCAAATTTGTTACTCTGTGAAAGAAGGTATAGAAGACCACGAATTGTATGATTCCATTTACAAGAAATTTCCAGAAGAGATGAACCTATACAAAACCGGAAGGTAGATGAGTGGTTGCCTTGGGTTTGGGAGAGGGAGTAGGTGGGTAGATGGAATGGGCAGGGACTGAGAATGGGTGTAAGTTGAACTTCCGGGGAGACAAAGGGTTCCGGATTTAGTCTGTGGTGGCGGCGGCACTGTACACTTTAAATGGATATGTTATGTGAGTTATATCTTAAGAAAGCTCTGTGACCACAAAAAGGAGGGTGGCTGATCATGACTGCTGAACAATTTTCAGTTTTTCTCCAAGTGATTATACTGTAGGAATATGCTGAAACAGTAACAGTATTCAGATTAAAATAGTTTCAGTGTATCACCTTCAGCGCGGCACAGAGGCACACACTTGTAATCCCAGCGTTGGAGATGCTGAAGCAGGACTGCCCAAGTTCAAGGCCAGTCTGGACTATACAGTGAGCTACACAGGGAGACCCTGTGTCACCTTCGACCTTATTACATTTTTCACTGGGATGGATGCTGAGAGAAACTTTGTCTTGTAAAGCAATTTAACAAGTCATTTGACAAGTTTATTAAATCTAGCTCATTTCACTTAATGTCACACAAAGCATATCCAACTGTGTGCTACTTAAAGATAATGAGGACAAGAGACACTCAGTGGACCCAGTGTTGATAATTTAGGAGTTTGATCTTGGTCTTTGAGTAAAGCCTTCAGGCTTGACTAAAATTTTCACTAAGCTGGACATGGTAACACACGTCTGTGATACAGCACTTGGGAGGCTGAGGCAAGAGGACTGCCATGATTCCAGGGCCAGTCTGGGCGACATAGTGAGTCCAAGATCAGCTTGAACATAGCCAGAATCTATATCAAAAATATCAAGCCAAATCAAAGTGGTGGGGGGGGGGAGCTCAGAGCTCTCTGGGGTCAGAGCAGGCATTTTCTCTGCTCTAGGCCTATGTGCCCTTTGGCAACCCCAAAAACTTCAGGGACAGCTCTGAAGCCAACAGAGGGAAGTTGGAGCTAATAAAGCGCTGCGAGACACACCATAGCTGTGCTAGTTGTCACAGTACAGTGAAGTGTGACAACTGCTAGTAAACGGGAGCTGTCCTGTGCCTACCACTGTCCCCCCCAGGACCCCAGCATCCTCCAATAAAGAAATACAGTCTGGCACAGCAGTGGGTGTCCAGATCCTACCTCAGAGGGCTGCTGTTCTGATTCATTACAGCCTGTATTGGAAAGAGCGTTGAATATTTTTTAAAATACGTATCAGCCCCCTAAGCAGCCATCACACACTCACACACCACCGCCTCCAAGAATCAGTCCTACCTGACACCTGGCACCAGGTCCCTCCTCAGGCCCATTCATCCTCACCCTCCCCGCAGAGGACCGGGACACTGGCGATGGGTGCTGACGGCCCACAGACTGGCCCCCGAGCTCTCACCATGCAGCTCCACTGCCAGGATTTTCTTTCTCCCTGGAACCTGAGTGATCTGATCGGAAGTACCCTTTCAGTTCTCATAATCATCAAAGGAAACATGTTTCAAGGCAGGGAAGGAAGATATTAGATTCTCTCCCTGGACGCGCCCCTTCCATCCTTGCTGCCCTTTGGCGCTCAATGAGAGCCACAGACTAAATGGCATGACGGCACCTGGGTGGTGTTCTGAAAAAAGGGACACTCACCGTGGCATCCTGCAAACACTTTTTCACCAACAGGATCTTCAGGCCTCCTGGGGCTGTCAGAAATGCAATTTCCTGAGATGCTGCCACAGGGTTTGCTGCAGGTCCACTGTGCAGGCAAGTTGTATCAGGCTGGGACACTGTACCAGGTGGGGATGATCTCCCCAGCACAGGGCATTTAAATATAGTTTTCACAACTTTAGCAAAGGCCTCAGCTGTCTTCTCCAATGAGTCCACAAGATAAATCTCTTTCAAAGTCCATCCATCCTGCTTATGTTGGAAGTTTTCCTTGATGGACAGAACAATGGACTCCACACACTGCTGTAAGGGAAAGCCAAAGACTCCAGAACTAATAGCAGGAATGGCTATGGACCGACACTTGTGTTTTTCTGCTAAAAGAAGACTATTTTCCACAGCTTTCTTTAACAGGTACACACACCTTGGGGCCTCATGTCCATCCCACCGGGGCCCTACTGCATGGATCACATGCTGGCAAGGTAGCCTCCCTGCCTTCGAGAGGACAGCATTGCCTGGTAGGAGCCGGCTGTCTCTCTTCACTATCTTGTCACAGTCTGCTTGAAGTTCCGGGCCAGCTGCTCTCGAGAGAGCAGCAGCAAGGCCAGCTATATGCTTGAGGTCCTCGTTGGCTGCATTCACCACCGCACTGACTGGAAACTGAGTCAAGTCACCCTGCTGGACCATCAGGAAGATGCCAGGGGCCACCTCTGTCTGGATGAGGTACTTCTGCCCATCAGTTTTGCCTCCTACCTTTTCTTCATTCTCTAGGAGTTCAATGAAACAACCGTATAACTTCCGGACCTCACCTCTGTAAAACCATGCTTTATCCTGGAAGAACTGCCTGGCTCCTGGCTTGTCAATAGGGATGCTTTTAACAAAGACAGACTTCTCGGCTTCCTTGACAAAGTTCATACCTTCTACCACATGGCACTTGGGTCCAATTAGCAAAATGCCCTTTTGTTTGTGCTCTGGATTGAAAACCACCTGCACATCTCCCTTCTTGATTTTTGACCAGAACTGCTTCTTTTCTGCCCTTAAGTAGTCTATAACCAAGGATGGTTTTATTTCAATCAATCTTTCTATTTTCATATTTTTTTCCAAGAAGTCAAAAATCAAGCTATAGATTTCATTTACTTCCTTCACGAGGCCTGCCACAACGATGCCAGCTGGGCTTCCTACAGTGAGATCATTGGTTACCATAATGCATGAGGAAGAATCAGATTTCTTCTGGATATTGCCAATGAAGCTTTTCCATTTGCTGCCTGTAAGAACTTTCTTGTCCTCGACTTCAATGCGTTTATAATTTAAGGCACTGAGCATCTGTTTTTCAGCTTCTACCAACGCTTCAGAGGAACAGCTGGTTAAGAGCACAGTTGTGTCCTTGAGCTCATAAACTGTAAGATTCTTTTGTGCAATAAAAAAAGACTTAGAGAATTCTTTATGGTCTACCTGCTGCAAAAACTGGAAGACCTCGGGAGAGACCTCAATGGCCTTCTCAGTCATGGTGTACACCTTCTCCTGGACTTCACACTTCGCTTTATACACATCTGCCTGGGTTCCTTTAAGGCACAGTTGCTGAGTGTCCGCATCGTAACCGATCTCCATCTCTGGGCACTCTACGCACACACACTGCAGAACGCCACTGTGGTGCAAAAGAAAATGCTTTTCTGAAGAAACAGCCACTTTTTCCTTCAGGCTTTGCTCTTCCCTTTGAATTTTTTGAGTCGTTCTTTCTAGCAGTTCCTTGATTTGAGGACTAACACTTCGAATATCATCTGATTTCCCTGCTAAGGTTACAGTCTCCTTAGATGTATCAAATTCAATCAAAACCGTATCATCCTCTAAGTCATTTTTTACGGTGTTCCAAACTGCCGGAGCCACCTTAAACGAGGAAACTGCATACGCTGACCTGATGTCAGCAAGTGCTGCAGAGGCGTCTTTCTTCCACGTCTTCACTCTCAGTCTTCCTTGACTGACTAACGTGGCCGCAGGTCTGATGGTAACTTTACTGTCCTGCTGGGACCATGTTAGCTCACAGTGATGACGTCTCATTTCATCATCCAGCTCCTTGATCAAGTGGTCCTTTTTCTGAAAGAACTTCCACAAAGGCAGATCCAGTGACTCCTGGAATGGTGCCGGTAGCTTGATCAGAGGCTGTTCCTTACCATACAAGGCTGTGCCCAAAGAGGTGTAGTAGGGGAAGACAGAAAGCGGCATCTTATTGAAGTTGTGTTTCTTGGTCATGACGGTATCTAACACTTTAAGAGCAAAAGAAATAAAAAATAAAATCAAGGTGATTGCGATGTTGTATGTTTCAAATAAAAACAAAACTCTCGTTCTGCAGGAAAATAAATCCCAATGTTTGTAGAACTCTGACGTCATATCATTAAAAGGTACCTCTACTTCCAAAGTGCTCAAATAGAGTTTGACACATATGACCAATGCACAGGTAGCCTCTATTTCATGCAATTATTACTTTACAGCCAAGTTGAAATTCTATTACACTCTATTTTCTGTTTTTCTAATAGCATGAATATATCACCACTACACTAAGAAATAGATATGAGTTTGGTCACAGGCATGGAAATGATATTTGCCACAGTGTAAAGAATATTTTGGTGTTCAAAGTGAAGCTCATCTGAGTAGCATGCTGCTTTTTTCCTCCTTCTACCATCCCACAATGTTAGCCTCAAAAGTTGACTTAAACTCCATAAATATTTTAACAAGGAGGAGGATTACTGTAATTGCTTACCATAGATCAGACACCACTGTAAGTACTTCAGATAGATTGAACTCATTTAATATTCACAACCACCCTTTGAGGTAGAGAGGCTATGATTATGATCCCTTTTGATAAAATTGAGGCTGGGGAACCTGAATTTGGTTCCATATCTGAGCTCAGATTTAGCATCTGTCAGCTCCAAAGCTTATACTCTTGCCCCTTTACCAAAACAAAACCAGCCTCAAAGTCCTCTGGGAGCCCAGCTCCATACACTACATCTCTCTGTCCCTGCTACAATCTCCTTCCTGCAACATATACTGAGACAGCTGTGTGTGTGTGTGTGTGTGTGTGGCTCTTCTCCTATAAGCCCCTCATCATTTTTTGCTGTTAAGCAGGTACAAGGGACATCATCAGGAAGGGAACCAGAATGAGAACCATTAACAATTTGGATCAATACAGTATCCTTGATGAAAAAGATGCTGAGGATAACTGCATTGTGTATGCTTGGTTCCTAGGGCTGGGGTCAGGCATGATGTAAAGAATGTGGTCTTCAGAGGCCCAAAGAATAGACCCAGCTTCTCTCCATCGTTCTCAGAGGCTTGGCAGCTGGGCAGTACCAGTGACCACTAGCAGGTTTTGAGCACCACCATGTGCCAAGCACTTTGCATATATTACCTCACAATATTCTCTTAAGGTCACTAGAAATGTCAGACCTATTTTATAAATGAGAAAACAGAGGGTTTGGTGGGTTAAAGTAACTTATCCAAGATCACAAAGCTAGTAAGCACCAAAACCAGGATTTGAACATTTGTCTGAGCTAAGAACTACCAAAGATGTCAGCTTCAGTGCCCTAAAGTCACTGCGTAAAGAACACACGCTGAATGATGAGCCTGGCAGGTAAAAGAGGAAGCAGGAGCACTTTTTAGGACCCGTGTGTGTTTTGGCTGAAACTTGTTGAAATGTATGCGAATGTTTGAAATACAGATCATCTCTTTCTAAATACAGTATTTCAAAGGTTCGGAAAACGATAAGATTTTCAGTCCATCGTAGGTGGAGACTCATGAGAGAATCTCCCTTATGTTTCAAAGACTTGATGTTGTTCTCCGAAGTCTGAATCGCCCGCCCTCATTAAGCGTCATATTCCAGAAGGACAAATGATGAACCCCATTTCCCATATATGAATAAGCAAGTAAAACACATCAGAATTCAACCAGCTGCCAGGATCTGCTGAAAAAGGGCTAGATTACGCCAGGTGTGGTAGGCTAAGAAATACTACCTTTTCTGTCACAAAATTCAACCAGAGCTGAACTTTCTTCCGGAAAACATTCAACACGAGCTACTTTTCCCCCTCCATGGTAAGGATTTTCAAAGAAAAGTTGTAACTGGTAGTCATCAACACCAGGGGGCAGGTTTTCCACCCGGATCGTTTTTGTCTCTTCCAGAAGTCTTGGAGATAGGTTAAATTTTTTAATCAAATTGTGTCTGGCACAATCATAAACAAATTTCACAGTGTCTACAAAAGAAAAGAACATTAAAATTATGTGGGGTGTGTGTTTTGTGCATGTGTGCATGTGCACATTAGGCAAGCACTCTACCACCAAGCTACACTCCCTGCCTTCTTGTCCAATTTTGTTTTATCTTGGTCTTACTCATCCTCAGGACTCAGCCCAACTATCTTTTTCAAATGAACCAGTATTGCCGGTGGGCCCAGGTTTTGCCAAGCACTGTGCTAGTCGTACATACAGAGAAGAAGACATATCCTTGTCAGCTGCATCAGGCAGGCAGGAGATCTGGAAAGCAAATGAACTACATATTGTGGGATCAAATGAGGACGGACTAATACTGAGAATCAGCCTTGGATTCCTGGAGTGAGCTCTCTGATCTGGGTTTTGAAGAATGAAGAAGGACTTACAGATAGAAAGGAAAAGACACACGGCAGGCAGAGGGAACAGCAGCAGCTCAGTGTATTTTTGGACCTGCTGGACTGGTACTGCTGGAGTACAGCCTTCACAGGAGCAAGATGAAGCCACTCTGACTGGGTTCCCTTTCTCCCCTTTCCCACAGCGTGTTGCTCACAGCTGAGAGAAACAGCTTCTCTCCTTTCCCCCTCACTATTCATTACATACAGGCTTGCGTTCTCAAGAACAGGAACTACAATTAATTCATGTCTGTGCCCACAACACCAAGACTAGTGCCTGACACATACAGTAGGGGATACTACAGTTTGGATCTGCATGTGTCCCAGAGGCCCATGTGTTATAGGCTTGGTCCCCAGCTTGGCGTTATTGGGAGGAGGCAGAACCTTTAAGAGGTGAGGCCTAACAGAAAGTTCCAGCCATTGGGTAGGGAGGAAGGGGATAGTGGGAACCTGACCCCTCCTCTCCTCCTCTCTCTTTTGGCCAAGAGGTGTACAGTTTTGCCATGTGCTGCCACCAAGGTGTCCTGCTTAGCCACAGGCCCAAAAGCAACAGAGTCAATCCACCATGGACTTAGCCCTCCAAAACTGTGAGCCAAAATAATCCTTTTCTTTTGATATGTTGCTTATCTCAGGTATTTGTTACAGTAATAGAAAGCTAATTAACACATTAGGTGTTCAAGCTTCTTAACCAATGAACAAAAAGCAAGTCCATTTAGATTACCCTCATAAGAAATAATAATAATAAATTTGCCAGGTATGGTAGAGTGTACCTGTCATCTCAGCACTTGGGAGGCTGACACAGGAGAGTCACAAGCTTGAGGCCAGCCTGGGCTACACAGTGAGTTCAAGGCCATCCTTAGCAAGACCTTCACTCAAAAAACTAAAATAATAATAATAATAATAATAATAATAAACTTGAAATCAGGAGCAATTCTATTAAATCATTAGCATCTCTCTGGTACTATGCTAAACATCTCATTTAATCTTCATAGAAACTTTAGTAAGTATTATTATTCTCATTTTATTTTATTTTGATGGTGGGAATCAAACCAGGGCCTCTTACATGGTAGGCAACTGCTCTGCTATGGAGGTACCTCCCCAGCCTTATCCCTATTTTACAGATAAAGAAAGTGAGTTGCTCAGAGGATGTACCTTGGCCAGCCTTGTATAGCTAGTTAAGTGGCAGAGCTAGAATTCTGGCTCCATGATCACTGTTCTTAATTGACCATCCCACAGCCACAACCAGGGACTAGTGAGGACTCAGAACTGGGAAGTTTCCTTGTTTTAGGTGGGGGTAGTTCCTCTCTTGACAGTGACCTTCAAAACAGCCATGTACTGTATCATACACACTTTCTCACGCCTGCCTATGAAAGTGGCCGTCTGCAGAAGTAGGCTGCCTCAGTTCAAGTCCAGGTCTTACACTTATTAGAACTTTGGTGCCTCTCTCAATTCCACATGTATACTGGGGTTAACAAGAGTAATCTCATAAGGCTGTTGAAGGAAGAAATAGTTTAATACATGTAAAAAGCTTAACATAGTAACCGACTCATCATAGGCACTGTGAGTGCTTATTATTATCACCATCGTCATCATCTTCCAGTAAATCCAATTGGAAACATCAACATTTACTTCTCCCAGTGATATAATACGTGAAAATGCTGACTCCAAATAAAAACTTTTGGTTTCTATTTGAATCCCTCTCTCTCTTCCTCTCCCCCCACCTCTCTCTCTCACATACACACACACAAACTCATACCAGAATTTATTTTCAAAACTTACTTGCTTCCACTTAAAAAAAAAAAAAAGAAGAAGAAAGAAAAGCATCTATTTTAACCTGGAGGCCTTTTACTGCTGCCACCAAAACACCAGACTTACACAAATGTTTCACTAACAGGTATCGCAAATCCCAAGGTGTGGTGCAAGAAGTCAGGCAGAGGCAACATCACATGAGCTTACCTGTATGTTTTTTAAAGGTAACCACAGCAACTCTGAAATCCTGTATCACTTCCACCTGAAAGTCATCACTGGTCAGGCCACTTACATTCTCCACTAACAAAGTCAACATCATGTCAGTCACGTTTGCCTTGAGATTTTCAAATGCCACCAAACTGGAAACATTTTCACTTTCTTTTGTGAGATCTTCCATCTTTTCTGATCTAGTATTGAGAGACAGCTCTGTGTCTGGTTCTTCTGACACAACTGATGTTAGGGGGACAAAAAAAGAGATACAAAATGTTCTTTATCTACCATGGTCTTAGCAATGTAAATAATCATGAGGCATGGCCTTGCCTCTCCAAACATCTTGGCTAACTCAACTAAAAACAGACCTTGGCAGCTTTTCTTTTTCTTCCTTTAATTAAAAATTAAATGTAATATTCCGTTGTCCATTATTATTATTTTCAGTTCAGTTCTATCACATCCTTTTCTGCCTTGTCTGTCTGAGAGCCCTATCGTATTCTTTATGGCACTTGACATATATTTGTATCATAGCACTACATTAAAATTATTAAACGAAGCTTCTCAAAAGTAAGGCACAGGTCCATGTACCCTTGTATTGCTGGCACGTGGTATACAGTTGAAACTCAGTTACTGCTTGGCTCTCTGGAGGAAAGCAAGAATAACTAATGATACAAACACACTCATGCTAAATGAAAACCAGTTTAAGAATTAAACAGCAACATAGCATTAAAGGAGATAGGTGCGAATGAACAGAATGAGTAGTAGGCTAGGCAGGAGGCTATGTGTGTTCAATCTCTGACTGCCACTCTTTAGCCACGTGACCTTGGACAAGTCCCTTAATTATAACATGAAAACACAGGCCTATGTAAACTAAAGAGATGAGTCATTCCAGCAACATAGTTTTACAACCCTGTGACTATCAGCGGTTTCATCTTGGAAGAAGTGTGGTGGACTGGCAAATAAAGAGCATCCAGGAGCAATGCAGGAGTTCAAGAAATAAATAAAGGGAGGGGCTGGTAAGGAAAGGCTTCTGAGAGAAGGAAAAGGTACAGGTATTGAAAAGTACACAGACTTAGAAGACAAGTGGGATGAAAGGCAGGTTAGATCCAGGAAAAGCAGGTGAGATCCAGAATGTGGTCTGGCCTTTGTCTTGCAGTCGATGATGAGTTATGGGCAGTTTCGGTGGAAAGGACCGCAGGATATTTACAAAGACTTCAGTGGACTGCTCAGATCAAGTAGAAAGTCATCGGAAACAGGCAGACCACCCATGCTGGATTTGTGAGGTAATAATGGGGGCCTGCGGTGGGAAAAAGTGATACGGAGACTCTTAACAACCTAATAGGTCTGTGTGTCTACCAGGTGGGAAAGATTAATTAAAGAGAGATGCCTGAAGTTTCCAGAAGGCAAGGGGTAAAAGGGTTGTTTAGCTTTCACTCTAAAATAAGGAACAAGACAAGGATGCTTGCAATCACCGCGCCTATTCAATATAGTTTTGGAAATATTAGCTGGAGCAATTAGACCAGAAAAAAGAAGAATAGGAAGAAGTGAAATTATCATCATTTGCTGCTGACATGATACTCTAGAAGATCCCCAAAACTCTACCAAAAGATGCCTAGATTTAATAACTAAATTCAGTAGCACATCAGGACTCAAAATCAATAGCATGCTTGTATACAAATAACAAACTCACTGAGAGAGAAATTAGAGAAACAACATCTTTCACAATAGCATCACCCAAAAAATGAAATACCACAACACAACAAAAAAAGACACTTGAGCTGGGTGTGTGGCGCACACCTAACCCTAGCACTCGGTAGGCTGAGACAAGAGGATCACTGTGAGTTCAAGACCAGCCTGGGCTACATAGTGAGTTCCAGGGCAGTCTCAACTACATAGTGAGACCCTGTCTCAAAACAAACAAACAAACAAAAAAACAAAAAGAAAGAAGAAATACCTAGGAATTAATCTGAGGAAGAAAGCAAACGACCTGTACATTGAACACTACAGTACTCTGAAAAAGGAAATTGTGATACAAGAAATGGAAAGATATCCCCTTTCCTAGTTAGCCAGAACCAATATAATGAAGATGGCAATAGGTCCAAAACTGCTATACAGATTTAATGCAATCCCAACCAAAATGTACAATAGATATTGGGAAATAGGAAGAAAATGTTCAAATGGAAATGAGAACAAGGGAGGGGAATGGGAAAAGGGAGTAAAGGAAAAGGAAAAAGGAGAAAAAATTGGGAAAATGGAAACAAAGCTTTTGTAAATTAGGGGAGAAAAAAGGGTTGAAGGGAGGGAGGGGAGTAGAGAAAAAAAGAATGAAGATATATCACGTATAGTTACAAATTCCCTATGAAGAATATAATCATTATGTATATCAAAAGTCTACCGATAAAATTAATTTAAAAATAAATTTTACATCCAGTAATACACAGTAGTAAAGTGTAAATACAGAAACAGCTACTTGGCTGTCTAAAACTGGCTTGAGAGTACAGAACCTAAGACATCTCCCAAGAAAATAATAAGGGCCAGGAATTTATTTAGTTCAGTGGTTCCAGTGCCTGCCTCATAAGTGCAAGGGCCTGAGTTCAATCCCCAGTACCAAAAGAAAAAAAAAATGAACCTGTCAAGAAAATAATAAGGATTTAAGGGATCGTGATGTTAAACATTTAGAGCTTATGAGCCAATTCCACATCTGAAAGATGAAAAGCAGGAATTAATCTAAAGACACAAAAAGATTCCTATCTCATAAGAATCTTAAGCTTCTTAAGAAAAGATGCTTATTGGATTCTACAGTGTAATAGTACATCCATACTAGGTGAAAATAATCTGTATGTTACTTATCACCAACTAGTTATTTTTCCAGGTGATGGAAGCTCTCATTCTAGCACCATTTTGAAAAAGAGAATGTTGCAGGAAACTACACATGTTCACAACCAGTTTAATTTAATTTTATTTATTGGGGGGGTACTGGGGATCAAACTTGGGTCCTTGTGCTTGAGGCAGGTGGTGGCACCACTGAGCTAAATCCCTGGCCCAACCAGTTTAATTTTAGAGGATGATTTTTTTAGAATCTCTTTTCCCTAAGACATGGGTACACGTATCACTGTCTCGCTAGGCTCACTCAGCACAGTTCCTCATTTCCTCCCCTTTACAACAACAACTTTAATCATAAAAAGAAGTTGCTGCTTCTTTTTTTCTTTTTTTGTACCAGGAAGCAAACCCTGGACCTTGCGCTTGCAAGGCAGGTGGCGGAACCACTAAGCTAAATCCCTGGCCCCACAAGCTGTTTCTTGGGTCAGGTGGCACCACAGACCAATGCTCAATAGTTCATTAAGCAGCAGAGTCGATGACAGCTACGTGGCTGCTGGCTTTTTCCTACAGCAGGTGGGATCAGAAGAGCTGCTGCCTTGGAGGAGGGGGCATGTTCCCATGTCCTGCACCACCCTGAGAAGCTGTTGCCCACAGAGGAGTCATACCTCCCGAGGTGGCTAGAGGTCACACCCTGTGCATCCAGTGCTCACGAGTGGTGCTAACTGACTTCACTGTGCATGGCATCCACAGAGATGCCATGCCTGTCCTTGCTTCTCTTGGCCACCTGGGCACACACAGACTAAAATTCAGTTCATTGCCACTTCCCAGGCACTGTTTCTTTGCCCTCCCCTCAACTGTAAGACATTTCCCAGTTTCCAGAGAAAGCTGTTCTCATCCTTCTGACCTAGCCCTTGAGAGGTCAAGGAGCTCCCCCAATGGCGGCTTGTTCTGCACAGCTGGTTCCAAGTATGAAGATCATACTTCGCAAGGCTGTTCCCAGCTGAGCAAACTCTGCACTATGTAAGTCAAAAAGAGAGGACAGGACCCCAAGTGTCTTTCTTTAATTAATTAAGTTTAATGGTATTAAGTGTCTTATTTAATAAAAAGAAAACTCTTTGGTGAAGGTCAGAGTCATTTCAACTGACATTTTACCTGGTTCATTGACATTTTCTCCCGTCTTGGATTCCTGAAACCCAGACAAGAAAGTAACATTAATATATTGTTAATCATTTCTTTACATTGAGCAAATGACCCTGGGATCACCCTGGAGACACAGAGCAAATAGAAACCATAATGAAAAGCCCCAGTAATGGGGCTCCTGCACGAATCTGGGGCCACATGTCATAATATATCCACTTGCTAGTCACATCCATCATTGGTGAAAATAAGGGACAAGTAACAGAAATTCCAATTTAAACCAAGTGGGATTTATTTATTTATTTGTGGTACTAGGGATTGAACTCAGGAACTTGTGCTTGTGAGGCAGGCGCAAATCCCCAGCCCTATTTTCATTTTTTGACACAGGATCTCCTTAAGTAGTCTAAACTGGCCTTGAACTCACAATCCTCCCATCTCAACCTTCCAAGGACTAGGATTACAAACATGGGCCAGTGCACCCAGCTTGCACCAACTGTCTGGGGTACAGGGTAAGACTGAGCTTAGCTCATGATATTTTTCTCATTTAACATTTACTGTTTACAAGCAGAATGGTTTCATGACTTCAGAGAAGTCATTTCATTTAATCCCACAATAATCTATCTTACAATTAAGAAAAGAGTTCCCCGGAGTAGGAATCACTTTCCCCTTAAGATAATGTAAAAAGAAAAAAAAAATCAGTACGTTTCAGGTTCTAAAGAAGCCAAGACCAACAGAACCCAAATTTTATATCCTAAATCAGTGATGGCAAAACTTGTAGAGCTTTTAATGATGCAAACCCCACAGTGGTGTACATGTCACGGGTTCGCCACCACTGTCCCAAACCAACACCGCTGTGAGTCCCATACCTTGCCTTTTCCAAGCATCTCAGATCAAGCAAAAGTGCCACCTCCTTCATTGCTCAATGCTGCCTCATCACTGCCCTCTCACCCTGCATTCGTGTGGCCTGCTTTCTCACGCTCCGTTAATTTATACTTCTCATTCCACTCTTCCCTTCGCTGAGATTCCCATCCCACCCTGGATCCCAGTGGCCCCTCAGGTCTACTTACATTTGCTAGAATTTTCTCCTTAGAGACTGGGGCTTCGTCTGGAGCAGTGGGCAGCTGGACAGTTAACTGGAATGTCCCTTTACCTGGCAAAACTAACTCATGATTTGTTTTTTGCAGAACTTTCTGCCGAACTGAAATGTCAAAAAAAAAAAAAGCAGTCAAATGAGTATTCTGTGATTTCTATGGGCTTCCTCCCCTTTAAGCCAGGCTCAGCTAGTTTCTGGGCCAATGTCTCTCTAAGGACACTGAGATCTGCCTATGTACAGAAGAGAGACTGACGGTTTCCTAAAGGAGCCTGAGCCTTCAATTGACCGATGTGATTTACAACCAGCCCTCTAGAATGAATTGAATGGATAGGCCAAGGGTCCTCTGTATTTTTAAAGTAAATAATGCTAGTGTTTGGACATGGGAGTGTCCCCCAGGGGCCCAGCACTAAAATATTAGTTGCCAACCTCTGAGCCAATGGGAAGTGGTGGAACCTTTAAGAGGTGGAGCCTGGTGGGAGGCAGTTATGTCACAGGTGCCAGCCCTTGAAGGGGAAAGGAGGCCCCATCCCCTTCCTTCTCCTCCCTTTTCTCCTTCCTACCAGGAGATGAGGGCTTCCTCCTTCAGCTACTCCCACCATCATATGCTGCCTTGCCATGGACCCAGAAGCAACAGGGCAACTGATCCAGGAACAAACCCACCAAAATTGTTGAGCCAAACTAAACTTTTCTTTGTTGAAAGTTGCTTATCTCAAATATTTTGTCACAGTTATGGTAAATTGACTAACAAATGCTAAGTTGACTAACAAACACATTTAGCATTTTCCTTCATAAGCCTTGCCACAAAACCCTCAGGATTCTCCAAGAGTTGGTTCTTCAAAAGAATAAAAATTGACAAACCCTTCACCAACCTTATGAAAAAAAAAAAAAACAGGAAAAAAAGAAAAGGCCCAAATCCATGCAATTAGGAATGAAAAGGGTGAAATTACAACAGACCCAGAAGAAATCCAGAGGATCATCAATATCTACTTCAAGAACCAACAGCCAATAAAATGGAAAATACAGAAGAAATGGACAGATTCCTAGATTCATGTGAATTACCAAAGTTGAATGAAGATGACCTAAAAATTCTAAACAAACAAACAAAACCCCCAATATCAACCAATGAATTTGAAAGTATAATTAAAAACTTACCAACTAAGAAAAGCCCAGGCCCTGATGGCTTCACTGCTGAATTCTACAAGACCTTTAGAGAGGAACAATTGCCACTACTGTTAAACTCTTCAATGAAACTGAAAGGGAAGCAACACTCCCAAATTCATTCCTGGAAGCAAGCATCACCTTGATCCCAAAGCAGACAAAGACCCAACCAAAAAAGAGAACTATAGGCCAATCTGACTAATGAACATACATACAGAAATTCTTAATAAGATACTGGCAAATAGAATGCAGAAGGTCATACACCCTGACCAAGTAGGATTCATCCCAGGGATTCAGGCATGGTTCAACATAGGCAAATCAATAAATGTAATACAGTATATTAATAGAGCCAAGGACAAAAGCCATATGGTCATCTCAATAGATACAGAAAAAGCATTCGACAAAATCCAATACACATTCATAATAAAAAAAAACCTACAGAAAATTGGAATAGATGGTCTTTATCTCAACCTCATAAACACCATCTATGAAAACCAACAGCCAACATCATACTAACTGTTCAAAAACTGAAATTCTTCATACTGAAACCAGGAACAAGATAAGGATGTCCACTATCACCACTCCTGTTCAATATAGTTTTGGAAACATTAGCCACAGCAATTACACAAGAGAAAGAAATAAAAGGAGTAAAGATAGGAAAGGAAGAAGTTGAATTGTCCTTATTTACAGATAACATGATACTCCATATAGAAAACCCAAGAACTCCACAAAAAAGTCTTCTAGACTTAATAACCAAATTCATTAAAGTAGCTGGATAACAAGGTTAACACAGAAAAATCAATAGCTTTTCTGTGCATGAAAAACAGATTCACTGAGAGAAAAATGGGGTGAACAATTCCTTTTACGATAGCATCCAAAAAATTGAAATACCTAGGAATCAACCTAACAAAAGAAATCAAAGATCTCTATTCCAAAAACTATTTCACTGAAAAAAGAGACTGAAGAATATACCAAAAAATGGAAAGAAATCCCTTGCTCCTGGGTAGGAAGAATCAACATAGTGAAAATGGCCATACTTCCAAAACTGCTATACAGATTCGTTGCAATCCCAATAGAAATTCCAGCAACATACTTCACAGACCTTGAGAAAATCCAAAAATTAATTTGGGACAAGAAGAGACCTAGAACAGCAAAAGCAATTCTAGGCAATAAAGACAAGGTAGGGGATATCACAATTCCCAACTTGAAACTATACTACACAGCTACTGTGATAAAAACAGCATGGTACTGGCAAAGAAACAGACCTGAAGGGCCAGTGGAACAGATTAGAACATACAGAAACAACTTCAAACACTCCCAGCCACCTCATTTTCAACAAAGGAACCAAACAACCTCACTGGAGGAAAGAGGCTTCTTTAATAAATGGTGCTGGAAAAACTGGACTTCAACTTGCCAAAGATTAAAACTAGACCTATATCTCTCACCATGCACTAAACTAAAATTGAAATGGATTCAAGATCTAAATATTAAAACAATCACTAAATCATCTGGAAGAGAAGTTAGGTAGTGCTCTTAAAGACATTGGTGTAGGAAAAGACTTTATGAACAAAACCTCAGTTGCACATCAACTAGCACAAACAATCAATAAGTGGGATGTCTTCTTTTTTAAAAAACCTCTGCACAGCAAGAGAAACCACCAACAGTGTGAAGAGACAACCTACAATGTGGAAAAGATTTTTCACCAGCTGCTCCTCAGACAAAGGTCTACTCTCTAGAATATATAAAGAACTTTAAAAATCAGACCTCTCAAATTTAAAGACCCAATCAAAAAAAGGGGAACTGAAATGAACAGACATTTCTCAGACAAAGAGGTAGAAATAGCAAATAAACATATGAAATATGTTCAACACCTGGTCATTAAGAGATGCAAATGAAAACAGTACTGAGATTCTACCTCACCCCAGAAAGAATGGCTGCTATCATGAAATCAACCAATAACTAATGCTGCCAGGGCTGTGGGGAAAGAGGAACCCTGCTCCACTGCGGGTGGGAGTGTAGACTGCTGCAACCACTGTGGAAGTCAGTATGGAGATACCTCAAAGAACTAGGATTAGAAGTTCCATTTGACCCACCTATTCCCCTGCTGGGTATCTTCACCAAAGAATTAAAAGAATTGTACCACAGCAATATATGTGCACCCAGTTCATAGCTAAAATTTGGAAGCAACCCAACTGCCCGTCAACTGGGGACTGGATAAAGAAAATGTGGGTTTTTAAAAAAATATATAATGGAGTACTACCCAGCCATAAAAATGAGAAATCAGAGACATTTATAGCTAAATGGATGCACAATGAGGCCATAGGCTTCAGTGAAATAAATAGGACACACATGTAAATACTGAATAGTTTCTCTAGTTTGAGAAACTGAAAGCATAAATAAGGACTAAAAGGTATAATACATAATGTGAAATAGGAAGAAAAGGGACAAAGGGGAAGGGGAAATATGAGGGGTAGGGGAAAGGAAAGAAAGGAATAGAATATGAGAAAATGGAAGCAAAGTCTTTGTAGATGGGGAGGAAGGGAGGGGTTGAAAGGAGGGCAGGGTGACAGGAAAAAAATAAGAACCAAGGCTGATTATGTAAAGGTACAAATTTCCAACAATGAACGTCATTATATTGTATACGTTAAATGTACCAATAAAATTAATTTTAAAAGAAAAAGGAAAACTGTTTTAAAAAACCTCAACCTTCTTAGTTATTAATAAAGTTAATGGAGATTGTTTTGTACCAGTTCAAATTAAATTGAAAAAAATTATAAAGAACTTAATACAATAACGGTCAGGTGGTAATATTCTTCACGGATGTAAAGTAATTAAAGCAGCCCTCATGCAGAGCCAGGGCGGGCTGGGTACTGGGGCATACATACCGTGATGAAAGCCACATTTTCAGAAAGAAAAACCAGTGTATCTCAGATCTCAGAGAAAAGGAAGGAGTGAGGTAAGGGAGGAGGCGTGGTCAGATAGCGTGCAGAGGTCCAGGTGAAGGTGATGCTTGCCAGTACCTGAGAATTAGTGGCTGCACCTGTGGCAACAATGGTATTGGGTATCATTGTGCTCTGGTATGGCCGGGTGACAATGTCAGAGTGTCTCAAAGTGAGGGATGATCACTTTCCAACCTGGTCTAGCCGGGATCTCACCAGGATACCTACTCAGAAGCAGGCCTCAGGAACAGTCTGGGAAGGAATGACAGGCGCTAACTTCATCCTTTAAGGACAGGGCGGGGACAGGGCGGATATTTCTGCATGGACTCCTAAGGGTCTATGCTGAGCTGGACTGAGACCTGAGGACTGGCTGGGAACGCTGCAGCTCACAAACAAGCTGTTTTTTTATAAGCCACAATGTGGGCACATGTACCTTTGGGTTGCATTCATTTGATTATTTCTGGGACTTGGTATTACGGTTTAGATCTAAAATAGCCTCCCAAATTCTCGTGTGTGTGGAAGGTGACTGGATCGTTAGGACACTATACTCATTAATTTATTAATTCATTGATGAACCCACGGCAAAATGTGCTGTCAGTAGGTGGGGCCTGGTGGGAAGAGGTGGGTCACTAGGGCTGTGACCTGGAGAACAGATCTCCTTCTCCTGCTCCTCTCTTCTCCTTCTGCTCCCTGGCTGCCCCGTACTGAGCACCCTCCCCTCCACCAGGCCCCTTTGCCATCTGTTTCTGCCTTGGAGCAAGCTGATCATAGACTGAAACCATGAGCCAAAATAAGCCTCTCTTTTAAATGGAGTTTGGGTATTTTGTCCACTGACAGAAAAGTGGCTGAGACTCTTTGACAAAGTCCTTTCCAGGCCTCTAAAGGTGCCAGGCTTTTCTCTAATTGTATGCATTATGTATAGGCACAAGTATTTCAGGAGAACAAAGGTAATAATACCATTGCATGAGCCCCACCTAGCAAGGAGGTGAAGCTGGGAGGGCAAAGAACAGAAACTCTGATGTCCAATTTCCCTTGCCTACAGTTTCCATCCTGCACCAACATCAGATCATCTGTTTAATTTTATTTAAGTAAATGGATTTCCTCACCCCAAGCTGTCTGACAATAAGCAGGAGCCAAATTATGACCAGAAAGGATGACAAAACGTATACATCTGAAATAGGGTTTAAAATGTTAAGTCAGGGGGCTGAAGGTGTAGCTCAGTGCGAGACCACTTGCCCAACATGTGTGAGGCCCTGGATTCCATCCCCAGCACAGAGAAAAAGAAGAGGAGGAGGAGGAGGAGGAGGATGAAAGGAGGAACAGCAGTTGGAAGAATAATCAGTTTTTCAGAAATCCAGTACACACTACAAAAGCCAAGTATCACTTGCTGTTCATTCCTATTTGCTAAAGCCAGTTTCTACAGAGGAGAGCTGGTATGCTCATTACTAAATAAAGTCATGTTACACTGTGGGCCTGCACCTGTTAACAGGCCACTTCTGGGCACGGCATGAAGGGTGGAGGGCAAGAGTGCACTCTCTTTTCAGGGAAGCGATGCCCAATGCCCGGGTAGGACTGCCAGGATAGGCTATTCATCGTCAGCAGATTCTTCATGACTTGACGGTGAGAAAGTGGTTCACAAGAAGGAAATTGAAACTGAAAGGGGATTTTCTACCCCCTAAGAACTTTGACCATAAACAGTATCATAGGAACTTTGACCATAAACAGTATCATAGGTTTCGAATGCTGAGGAGTAAGAGAAAAAGGGCTACTGGAACAGGACGAGGTGGAGGAAGAGGGGTAGTGGGCTGGCAGCTGTGAAGGAAGAAAGCCTAAAAAGGAAGGCCGCAACCATTTGAAGGCTATAATTGAGTTCTTTTATCATCACACAACTACATTTTGTATTGTCTGTACTTATGCTGGTGCTATTTTGTATAATTATTTCTATTTTTGTTCATTTGGTGTTATTAACAGACCACAGAGATTCTCCAAGTTCAGGTACTGGGGTCACCTGAGGGACTGGTTCCCACCCACACTCACTGTGGCAATCCCTCTAACAGAGCTGCCTGGGTCCCTAGCTAACCTGCCCTCCAGGGGATTCACACAAGGTGGTCTGGGCCCACAATCTGAGCATCATTCCGAAGGCTGGCAGGATCCTAAGAAAGGAATCCCTAAGGGCAGCTAGGATCCTGGTATTGACCGTCAGAATCGGGATCAGGCCAGTGACAGTCTGGGCAATGACTTAGCTACCCAGCCAGCCTCTGTACATTCCGTGACGAGGGGCATCCTTGGATGACACTGTCCTTGGTTTTCCAGAAACAAGGGGTCTCTTGTCCTCTTCCATCCTCCCTCCCTTCACTCGTACCTGTGTGCCCTTCTCTTTCTGCGCCATACTCCCTGGTTGGGCCTCTGCTGAGCCACTCCAGTCATCCCAGCTGCATAGCCTCCTAAGCCTCCCTGCCTCTGCTCTGGCTCCAAAGCGTCTCCACGCCCAGTGACCACCAGCAAGGTGGATCGGTTTGTCCGCATCCTGAGGGATCAGACCCTGTGCTCGCAGTGAGGACGCAATCTGTACGCCCGTCTCCCTTCCCAAGTAGGAGCAGAGCTGGGAAGACAGGGAGAGCTCGGCCATTCAGGCAATTCTCCCAGCCAGCATCACCTCAGATGCGCTGCCAGTTACGGGCCACCCAGAGAGGGACAGAGGCAGCAGCAGGCCTGCACTGGGGCGCTGTGTTGTTGTTGTGGGGCCCGGCCTTCCCCGCCAAGCGCACGGTACTGCGAAGACGGAGATGCCGGTGACTTTGGCGGCACCACCGCTCCCCTCTAAGCGACCCAGGTCACCGTCTAGAAGAAGCACAGTGAGTCTCCGAGACCCGTGAGGACTTACTGGGAGTCCTCGTTTTTTCTTAGTGCCCCCTCCACCCGCCCC